TTAGTGATCATCTAGCCCAAATAWGGGGTAAGGATGCTCAGTGATACACCTGGCTATCTTCATGACCCCTCTCATTTTGGATAATATAAACATTATTTTTTGAATTGCTAGACAACACTGATTAATAATAGGCACTGTAATTTGAAAGTTAGAACATTTCTAAAACTCAGCTAATTTTAACACCATATTAATTAACAACTTTATTTAACAATATTGTTCATTTCAACCTCAGTATCATTTGTTTGACTCAGCTACACTGTTAAATCTGAGGATTCTGAACTAGATCCTGGGAACGATCAGCCAGACTGCAGARTCTGATCTATGCTTGAGAGCTGGTTTTATATCCCTACAGCATTTAGAAAATCCCATAAAATCACAGTGGCAACGCTTAAGTGAAATACCACATGGCTCAAAAAACAGAGATTCAGCTGCAGGCTGATAGCCAATAATTTAGTGAGAACAACAGCTAAAGGTGCTAAATCAGATTCTGTAGTACCTCTAAGTTTCATATCTAGACCGACTGTCACAGGTTTACAACTCAAGTGTACAGGAATTCCCAATCATATGAGAATTTGGAACACATGTCTATTTTTAAGTTTAAAATGTTTTCAATCTATCTGTGAAGATTTATATTGTCAGTTATGTGTTRTATCAGAATTATTTCCAGGTAAAATCTACGAGTAGAAGACCCTCAAGTCTGTCCTCAAGTGTCTGTCAAATGTTTGGATAAAACAATGTCTTTGAGTTATCTTCAGTTCGGTTTTCTTAGGGAKGAAGTTTATGGAGAGGGTACGTTAGCACTACAGCTTTGCTAGCAACATAATGATCAACTTCATATTTACATTGATGCATCCATATACATCTTCACTAAATATTCTGGTAAAAGCAACGACAGATTTTGGCCCAAGATCTTTTGAAAACTCRTAACAACACACATTCACTGGTTCTGAAAAGCAACCTTCATCTGGCTACTTGGAAGATCTCCAAGAGTTTGTGCACTGTGAGGTTTGAAAGGGATTAACTGCATACTCCTGTGCCTTTAGAATCAATACAACATATGGATTGGCCTGGTTGTCTTGAGTTGCCACTAACTGCAAAGGGAATATTTATACAATTCAGGAAGATGTAATTGGGCTTAAAGGGTCTGTGTTCTTTATGCACAGAAGTTAATTTATGTGAATGCATTAATGTTCATACATTAGTCATCACTGGGTCATCTGCAGAGTGCCAAGATTTTGCCTGTATGTACGAAGATGAACGTAAGCTTGAGAGCTCCCTGGACCCAAGGCGTTTTAAAACATCCTGTGCTTTACACTTAATTATTTTATACTGTTAGCAAATCTAAGAACAAAAATTGTTCTTGGTTTTGTTACTGTATTTTTTCTAACATTAAGTATAGAAAAATAACTGCATTTAAAATTGTAAGAAGACACATCTGTTGCTCGTGACCCTCCTGCTAACAGCAGCACTCCTTTGCACTGAGTTCTTCAACAGAGGTGGCCGTAGTCTGCATTTCAGTTTGTGAACCGTTAATGATGCAAAATGGATTTCAAATATCCAGAGATGAAGTTAAGTGTAAGATCACTCTATGCTAATCAAAAGAAATATTCTGTACCAAAAGCTTTTGGTGTCAGACAACACATAAGGGAGRATACAAAAGGAATGTGCCAATAACAGACTGGGAACTGGAAGAACAGTAGTAGAAGGGGAATCCTGGTGCTTCTTACCTGCAAGTTCTTCCAGTGGCTGTTCTAACATCCCACCGTTCCCTGAAAAGGGTTTTCTGGCTTGTGGCTGTGCCCTCTTGATGCTTTCTTCACATCAGCTTTGATGCTCATGACACAGCTTCAGTGAGCCAGGGCAGCCTAAAATGAATTAATCAGAAAAGCAATTAGTTTTTGGCCAGTGAGCAAAATGACCCAGTTTACAAGGGGATCAATCAAGAACCAGAGTGGGCATAAGTTATTAGAAGGGCCTGCAAGGCCAGGGATGGGGTGAAGGGAGGAGCAGAACTGTCCTTCACAGCAACAGTGAGTCATTCTGCTGCAGCGGTGGCTCTGTGTTTTTAGGTCTTACACATTAGTTTAGAGACAGCTAAAATACACTAAATACTTTTGTAGTATGGCTTTTCCATAGAAACATCTATTGCTTTTATCACCAGATTTTATGTGATCACTAAGATGAATTACCTCAGAAGAGAGGAGCTCTCTGAAATAGARGTGCCCTATATCAAAATATAGCCTTAACTATGAAAATTTGAAAATATTTGATTGACAGCTTTGCACTATTAGTAACACTGACCTTCAATGGTTGTAATTTTTCAATTGGCTTTTACAAAATTCTGGATTCCATAAACATATTATTATCTTTCCATTATGATTACTTATTCCCTCTAAGGTCTGCAATACTTTTCTGTAACTTCTAAATGGAAACAGGATTAGGATGAGATTCTGGAAATTCTCACTCAGAGGATTTGTATGAAAAGGTGGGGATACGCAAAGAAAAGTTCATTTCTTAAGGGCAAGATGAATAAAATGACACAGACGTAGGATGAAGAACAGTAATAACAGTATTAGCAACTGTGCATGTTTATAAATTGATAATTTTATGTTGGTTGTAGTAATATGAAACTAATGCATTATTTTTGTGCCTYTCATAGTATCTTTTTTTTTCTTTTTTAAACAAAGCGTGTTGCTGAGGAAATTGTATTAAATGGATTGATTTTTAAGTGATTTCACCTGAATTCTGTCTTACATGAATGTCTGTGCTGTCTCTGACTAGTCATGAARTAATTTCACCAACAGAATCCAGCCTACTAGATATTCAGGTATTGTTACTTTCAAGTGATTTGTGTTTAAACTGTGTATTTTGTCACTCTATTCATGATTTTTTCATGTCTTTTACTGCCTGAGTGAAGGATGTAAAAGGAGAAAGTATTAAACTCATTATGATTCTTTGGACAAATAATAACTGTGATCAAATTAGTTAAGGTGGCTCCTGATCAAATCAGGATTCCTTTGCTTTAAGATGCATATTTGTCAAATCTTTGTTGTTTTGTTACTTTCTGGTATGAAGAAAGCTGAAGCCTGTGTGCCAGATCCAAATAATAGCATGCTTCCAGTAGGCTAAATTGCATCTTTTTATGTTTAAAATTGTACAGCACACAGTATAAATTAATGATTATGACAAATGTTTTCTAAATCCCAGTACTAAACATTTTATGGTCCTGGTATTACAATACTTTCATTTAGGCACATTTCACAGTAATTGCACTTGGCCAAAGTGATTTGACATTTCTTACAATGTTAGAGGCTAAGATAAACATGGCCAAAAGGAGGAAAAAAAATCTTTAGTTTTGCATTTAATTCTAGCAAGAAATAATCTCTGTACTTAGTAAAATTAAGTAATTAAGTAATTTCTGGTGTAATGCATAGTGAGAGAAAACAAGTCAAGAGAAAAACGTTTTGATCAACCTCAAATTAATAAATAATAAGAAAGATGCAATTTACTATGAAGCATTGCATTAAGTGCTCCAGGTTAGCCATGCTAGTAATGAAATGCACATAAACAGCAGTAGCAAGCCAGCCATGGGCACCCAGCTTCGGCATATTACCATTTAAAACTTATTTGTGCATATATTCAGAAAGTGTTTTTTGAAATGGTAACTGAATCTTACAGAGGACGGAGTTCTTTAAAGCCAAAAAAAAAAAAAAAAAAGAGTAGAGCAACATTTGTACTCGCTAGAAGGTGTCTTGCTCAGCAACACTGATAATTTGCTGGAAATTTGGAGGTCATCAGTGACATTTGCCAGCTTTAAGAACATGTTAACCAGCACCAAGTACATAATTTTTATTTAATCACATTCCTGAAGATCTACTAGGATGAGGAATTTACATGGCAATTCTTAGGACTCCACTTTCACCTCACAACTGACTTTTCTTAGCGCTTACTACACCTGGTGCTTGGATGAAGTTGCAGAAAGTCCCCAGCAGAACGCTCAGGAGAGAGGAACTGTGGCAGACTACAAAGCGAGCACAGGAACTTCGCCATCTCCCTGAAATGGGTGAAAGAGGCTTCAYCTTCATTCCCCATGCTCACACAGTGTCAGTATTTCAGCCCCTGCAACAACACACGACTATGTCCATGCAGTCTTCCTGAACGAGCACAATGTTAGTTCTCATTCCTGTGGCTTGGGAGGGCTGCAGCAAGTACATTCCTGTCCTTCGCTTCCCCTCCAGTTCTCCTTCTGTCCTGAAGGAAGGGAGCTGCTGCCAGCAGCTAAATGGAGGCAGTGGTTCTCTGCCATAAAAGCTTCCAGCAAGTAATTACAGCCACTTCTCATTTCCCTGGCCTGCAATGACTGAGCTCCAGCTACCTAATCCTGCCTTTTCCACGTCTTGTGAGCCCTTCTGAACTCCTACAGCACTGGCAAGTGTTGGTTCAAACTCATGAGAGCTTTGTGGAAGGCTGAAATAGCCTCTGCTAGTAGATGACATTGCTGGAAAGGTTGAGAAGCTTCTACACACAGTCTTGTCTTCTCATGTCCACCGGGAGAGCCTTCATCAGCTCTCCTACAAACCTTTCTCATATGACGATGAGGGGAATCAGATGATGTTTCCTCTGGCTTCCAAGGGAYGCAGCCTTGCAGATTCCCACCATGCTGCTGCTGCAACTTAGTTTAGAGCGACTCTTAGTTTAGAGTGACCGTTTAGCTTCTTGCTGAGCTGCTTTTTCTCTCTGAAGCGTTTCTGGGCAGAAACTGCCTCTCCCCACATTTTGCGTGATGGCGCAGCCTGCTGAAACCTCAGCCACAGACAGGGCGGGAGGCAGCCTCGCCGCCTCTACCACAGGAAAGAAACTGAAACCGGATTTTTTTTTTTTTTTTTTTTTTTTGACTCTTTCTCGGTCGCCACAACAACAGAGCAACGGCCGCCGCTACCGGCCGCCCCGCGCGCCTGCGCCGTGCGGCGGCGGGCGCGGCCTGCGCGGGTTCGAACGGCCGTGCCGGGAAGGAGAGAGGCCGTGGCGCGGTGCGGCATGGCGGTCCCCGGGGCTCTGCTCCGCCAGTGCCCGCTGCTGCTGCCGCAGAACCGCCACGGGACGGCCTACGAGGGCTTCCTCACGGCGCAGGTACCGCGGCCRGGCCCGCCGCGGCGCGCGCGCGTGCGGTTCGGCCGGTGGCCGTTGCAAGCGACCGTTACAGCGGCYGTTACAAACGGCGCGCGGGGCTCCCCTCTCCCCGGGGCCGCCGCCTCCCCATCCGTGGGGCTGTATGGCCACGGCTTGGATTAAAAAGCGGCTGAAGAGGCGTGTTTAAAGAAAAACCCAAATCACATTGCTGGGGGAAGYGCCAGTGAGCCCTGATTTGCAGGAGCTGCCTGCAGTTACTTGCTTAGTAACTTSCTTACTGTAGATTTTGTAGTTTCTGTTGAGTAGCAAACTTACGTAATTCCATATTTAGGTGTGTGGAATTGCCCCTTCTGTCTTGTCCGTGCTATTTAGCGTGGTCTAACCTGTGGGCTGGCTGTGCCGTGGTGGTTATTGGTGTAACTGAATCCTGCTGTGAACGTTAGCTTGGAGAGAAGGATGCTCTTCTCGCTTGTGAGAATCTCGGGTTGGACAGGACCTTCGGGTCCAGCCCCGCTGCTCCAGCGGGCTCAGCTGCACCASACTGCTCAGGACCAAGCCCGGATTATTTTGACTGTCTGCAGGGGTGGAGAAGCTACAGTGTCTCAGGGCAGTTCAACCGCTCTCAGGGTAAAGAGGTTCATTCCTATGTTTGGGTGAAATTTACGGTATGTATTCCACTTAGTGCCCTTTGCTGAGATTCCCAAGCCTTCTCCAGGCTGAACGGTCCAGCGTTCTTGGCCTCTTAATGTTTTTTTTTTTTAAAATGATCTTTGTGGCTCGTTGCTGAACTCACTGCAATAAAACCGTACCTGTCCTGTACCGTGGAGGCCAGGCCTGGGCACAGCACATCAGATGTGGGCTCGGGAGTGGTGAGTGTAGCGAAGAATCCTCTCCCCTAGCCTGCTGGCAGCTCTCTCTGCCCAGGCTGTAGTTGCTCATCTTGATCTTGAAGGTCTTTTCCAACCATAATGATTATATGATTCTTAGCTGCCATAGCATGTGGTTGGCTCATGGTCAACTTGCCCACCAAGTCCCTAGGGCCTTCTCTGCAGAGTTGCTGTCCAGCTGGTTGCTCCTGCCCAGGTGCAGGATGAGGACTTTGCATGGCCCTTGTTAAACAACATGAGGTCCTCTATACTCGTCTCTCCAGGCTCAGTCCATCTCTGACTGCTCATCTAGCTTGTGGTTTGTCACCTGGCGCATGATGATGTTATAGGAATCACTGTTGAAAGGAGTAAACAGCATCACTGTATTGCAGAGGGGAACTGTTGTTCTTAACTTCCTTCCGGAGAAATATCAGAATTTGCAGGCGTAAGTCATGGTATTTAGAGCTAGAACATTGAGAATCTGAAAGAAGATTTGAGGTGACTTAACTGCCCTTTTGACTCTGGAGTAATATCAAACCCATTCACCTGTTCTCTTCAGTACTGTTTTGATTACCATACAAGACAGTAGAGGAAGGATCAAAAGTCAGGAAAACTCCTGAAAATACCACTTGTAGGTTGCATTTAAGAATGGCCTCTTTTTTTTTTTTTCCCTCCCATCCTATGAATAAGAATTTTTGCATTCATGTAGGCAGGACTGTTTGTGTTTAACTTCTCAAACCTTGCTGAAATGTGTTGTGGAACAATGCCCAAGGTCCTTTCAGTATGATAAAAGTCTCCTCTAACTTTGAATCAGAGGAAGACTTTCACATGTTTTTGCATGRTTAAGATAAGCTTGTATTTCTTGGTTGTGCCTGGATTTGGATAGTACTTTTYTTTTTCCTTGCAAAAAATCTTATTTTTGCTTTATGAGACGGGATGTTTTGAAGAGTTTTTCCTGAGTTCTGTGAATTTTATGTGGCAGTTTCCAACTTTTTTCTTTTTTTCCATAAATGAAGAAATTCTCCACAATAATTCTGAATAACATTCTAGTAAAAGTTTCTCTCTTACTAGCCACTCCCATTAAAACTTCTGCTAAAGTCTAACCATTTTTTGTGCTGAGCTTCCTATCAATTAAATGCTTATTTTCAAGGGTAGAGACTTCCATATCAGAATCCTGTTACCAAYGGATTGTCAACTGAAAAATGCAAGGTAAGACAGTGGAGGGTTTGTTTGTTTGTTTGTTTTTCTTTTCAATGAAGTTACTAAAGGTTTATTTGGCCAAAAGCACTAATAGAAATGCTTATGAATTATAATTTTATATCAAATTTGGTAATTAATATTTTCGGATTTCAACTTAACCTTGCAGCAAAATTGTACAGCATCCTACAGCATCAGCRTTAATAAACACTGACAATAAACATTGCCTATATCAAAATATTTTGTTGTTAATTAACTTTGAAACCTGTTGGAATTAATTGGTTGTGTTTATACAGAAATCAATGTACTTGAAAGCACAGAACTGTTCATTTAAATCGGGCTGTATTTATGTGTCACCATTTGGGAAAGAGAAAGATCAGTGCAAAGATCTATATTAAAGCAATAATGTTTAAAGCCTTTCATATTCTTTGCTATACTTCAGTGTGRCCTGGCCTATTCTAAACTGTGAGCAGATGTGATATTAGATAGCTTTATTACATTTTAGGTTGGATACTTAGAACTGCATTATAGTTAACTCTGACATTTTCAGGATACCAATTTCTAAATATTGGTATGTTTTATGAAGTCATATTAACTTGCAAGAATTATGTTGTTGTTTTCAACAGAGAGTGGAGGCTTTCATAGGTAAATGTCTGCTTATTAATTTTTAATGAACTATGGATCATGACATTTGAAGATTTTAAGTAACTGAGTAACTCAAATTTTAAAATACTGTTTACTTCCTTTGTGGTTTTGAGGAAAAACTTTTGTGTTAATGTGTACCAGACTTCCTGACTCTTTCAAAAAATGATGAATCTGTATTCAAAGCGCATGCAAAATATTGTTTGTCTAGGATAGAGTGTAGCTGGCACCTAAAGAAGATACTGCATGGATATCAGCATATTGTAAAGCAGGTATACTACTCTTAAAAGCTTTTGCTGTCTAAATATATAGTTACAGTAATTCTGAAATGCTTATACTCACAAGCTAATTTAAATATGTTTTAAAAAAATCTTCTTTCATTTTGTAACCAAAATTTATTATTWTGAAATGTCTGAGGATTTGTGGGCCAAACTAAAGAGGGATGGATAGATTCCTATAAATATATATTTTTCTTCAACCTTGAAGTTTTGGAGATTAAAATAGAAAAGATTTTGTTAAATGACAGCTGATGTTTGACTGGAATTTTTCTTTTATTCCTAAATTAAAAGAGATTAAACAAGACAAACCAGTTCATAATACAAAGAAGAAAAGTCATCTAAATTGTGAATATATCTAGCTAATGCCATATCATATTTGGCCAAGTAATCTTAGTTAAACTTCCCTGTGAGGAGGAAACTGTGGGGTAAGGGCACAAGCCTGCAGTCAAGTTTCTAAGAAGCCACAGGTGCTGTTTGAAAAGCTGCGTCTCATGGGCTCTGCACCCCTTTGTAGAACAASGGTGGTAACTCCATATTGTCCAAGGGTACAGAGCTGAGAAAACGGAAGCATAAACAGTTCATGTTCAGCATTAAAAATGTATTGTGCAAATTGCTCAACAGTGTTTATTTGTCAATAAAGTTACCCATACTCAGGGAGATTTGTTCTTTAATTGAGCTGTTCAACATACTGGCGTTTTTGCTGGTTTTATTTTYCCTGTGTGTTAGTTAACAACATCAGAAAAATACCTAGTTAGACTTAAACTGTTTACCACCAAAGGTTATGAGATGAAGAAAATGAACTGATAAACTGCTAACTATGTTCTTTCCAGAGGCTGCACAACTCTCCAGATCTTGTCAGTTTTTTGGTGGAGCTGAAAACTATTATGGTAAACAATGTTATATACATAGATCTCTCTCTCTCTCTCTCTCTCTCTCTCTCTCTCTTAATATATTATATATATATATATGGGAGAAGAGGTATTCTTATGTATTTGATTTTCACTTTTTTGTTTTTTTACAGTTTACTATTTTATAGATTGATTATGGCTTAATAAGAGGCAATTTTATATGCACACTGCCTAAATAATATTTGTATAAACAAACAGCCTACAAGATTTTAACTGTCTATTCTCTCTAGAAAAATGCATTGTTTTTGAGGGAAAAAAAAAAAAGTGAGTGATGTAGCTTTGTTGGCTCTAAGAGCCATCCTGTTTGCAGTGCACCTATCATCCAGGTGGAAAAGAAGGCTTTTAATCATACAGAGGGAGAATGCTTCATCAGTGGATTGCTAAAGGTGCTTTCATCTACATGACAACATGATCCACAAATGTAGAAAGCTTTCCTTTCTGATGTCTACTGTTTATTCTTTATGAAAACCTTTTTTTTAGTCTGGGATTATAAGAGTAGCAAAGGTTTGGTTACGAACATGCAATCAATATTTTGATCTCAGTAGAATTTTATTTTGTAGGACGTTGCTGCAAAGAATAGTTGTATTCACACTCAGTTTAGAAATAAAACACAATAACTATTTTTCAAAAAAGCAACAAAAATACTCTCATTACGCTCCTGCTCTATGCTGGGAATGCCTTTGTTCAATGTTGCCTAATCCCTGCCAAGCCAGATTAAGCTAAACCAGACAAAGGCACTTGGAATAAGAATAGGACATAAGAATGTCCGCATGCGACCATTGTGGAATCTTTCATAACAGTTTTGCCCATCTACGTGTCTGGATACAAAAGCCCCGAGAAAATGAGAATATTTTCAAAGTATAATTTGTTCAACATAGTAAAATGTTTCATACTGATYATGATTGTGGATAGAGGGAAAAGAACTACTGAACTACGAAAATGTATGTTTTACTACCATTTCTGTATTACCCGTAAACAATAGAAAAAATCTTTTGTTGGTTCCAAGCTAAATCACAGTGTTTGTAAGGTCATCTTTTTCATAGCAAGGCTAAAAGATTTTGTTTGTTTTTAAAATCTTAAAGTGGCTGTCCTGACTATTTTGCTTATAGCATCACTTTCTTTGTGTGGTGTTTCTTGACATTTTTATTCTCATAAAAATATGTGATATTCTGCTATCATTTTGTAAGATTTTGTTACTGTAGTTGCAATGAAACTTTTCTCTGGAAATCTGATTTTTCTTCTGTTCTCTCTCCTGAAGCTTTTATTGTGTTTTTATAAAAATATTAGCATTTTCTTTGTAGAAGGATAGCTGCTGTAGCTAGAATATATATTTTCAGACCCCATGATTTCCATGTCATGTGATGTGATGCCAGAATGAGGTAGTAATTGGATAAAATTCTGAAAAAAAGTCTGATATTTTAAAACATTTCTGCTCTGCATTGATCTTTCAGAAACTTACAATTGCAATGCTTAAATTGCAATGTTTACAATGTTTAAAAACACAAGCTTCTGTCCTTTCAAAAAAGTTTTTCCCTTCACTTTCTTTTTTGGAATTCTTTTTAAATTGTGGAACAAGTGGGASTGGAAGTGTATCACTGAGTTTTGTGGTTATCTTCGGAAATTATTCAGTAGAATAGCAGCTTGCTGCAGTTCTGTACCGCTTTATGAAGCGTCTGATCGGTGTCCATTCRCTGCACAAAATCCTAAGCTAGAGCAGTGTAGAGGTGATGTAAAGTAATTAGAACAATCAATCATAATAGGCAGTTTTACTGATAATATGTGGCATTGTGATTACAATAGCATCTCAATCCTAGCATTATTTAGTGATTCTAAGATGGCTTGGAAATCCCTCTCCAGTGACTTCACCGTATATTCCATATGGGCAGTGAAAGGCCCTGGATCCGTTTCCTTCCCTCTCCTACACTCAAAACAAACATACCTTTCTCTCACATTTTCAAAATTGCCCTTTTTTTTTGACACTCTTGTAGTCCCAAGTACAATTGTCTGAGATGATATAAATAAATAAAGAAATTGGTATTTGAGTGTGAAGACTATGTTGTCAACATCTGTGGGTTKTTTTTAATTGCAGATGTTTTCACTTCCAGTATCTAAAGTAATTTACCAGACAGCTTCTTTGTCTGCTTTCACTGGAGGCTGTAACAAAGCAAATGCAGTGTACAGTTARTTTTACATAAGCATAATATTTTTGAATGAATTGCAAAAATCACATGACATGAGAGATGAAAAGATATTGAAATCTCTTAATGATGTTTTAATGTTCTTTTAAACAGGAAATTGCCCTAAAGAATACACCAGAGCTGCACATAACAAGGCCACCAGAATACTACTCTTGTCTTGTCAGAGATATAGAAATACTGGGTTGGAATAAGTAAGTTTATTTTATCACTTAAACAGAGATGATCTTTAGAATATCTGGGGGTTTTTTTAGATACATGGATTCAAGATATCAATTCTACTTGTTCAGTTAATTCAGTTAATTCAGTTAATTATTAATTCAGTTAATACAATCACAGCTTCTTTGATTCTGTATTAAAAACACTGCTGTTCTTTTCTGTTTAACAAAAACCTATATAAACAGAAGGTTTATTCTCAATCTCAGATAATTTAGCTGGAAGTTAATGCTACTACTAAGAGATCAGTTSTTACTGATCTTACATGTTTAATATGGCTTTTATTTTTCTCATTTTTCTTCTTTTCAAATCATTTGTGCAGATGTTTTAGTTTTCTGTTGTATAGTGAAGGATAATGATATAATTACAACTGTTTTAGTGAGATAGTTATGCCTGGGAACAAGTGTCTTTAAAAAGCTGTCAAAAAAACCCTAGATCACACGTTTTTTAAAACTTGAATAATTTGCTTATTTCTAAGAGACACTTCTATCTTGCTTTCCATAGCCACATACAAGAAGAGGTAACATGGTTAATCTGAGGAAAGGGTAAATCTACAAGAAAAGTATACATGCATGTAGGTGAGAATTTATGAGGACAGAAATACGAAGGCCGTAGGTATCCAGTTTTCTCACCTGGCTCATGTATGGGTAGCTTTTAATTAATAACATGAAATAAAATTTTGTTTTTAATACTTTTATTTAAATACTTAAAATAGCCCTGTTAATTTAGCTGAGATTTTCTCACTGATGTTCATTACTGAGTATATAGTTCTGCTGGCTGAAGACATTCTTTTCAGTTTTCTCATTCTCAGCTCTGCAAACTTATTAGTTCAGTTTGCCTAAAACTTTACAGTTTTGTTAGCATAACAAATAAATTCTGAGCATGTATTCTCCTCCTCCAAAAAATTAAAAAAAAAAAAAACACAAAAAACAAAGTGGAGTTTATGATTGAATATACCAAGTGTGCACTTCTAGAAGACAATTCAGCAGCTGATCGTGAAACTGTTGTTTCTTCTAACGTGCTCTACATAGAAAACACCCTGATTTTATTACTAAAAGAACAGCACAATGTACTTCTAGAGAGTGAACTTTTAAGGCAGAATTTCACCTGATTTCTTGGCAAGGCTGTTTTATATCGAGGCACTCTGTTTTTACAGTCTGGTGCAGTTGACTCTTCTTGATAAACTTCTGTTGCTGATAAAATCACTATTCAATTTTATGTTGTTATTTAGGGGAGTTGATTTAAAAAAAAAAAAAAAAAGCTAGACTGTATTTAGGGACTCATATGTGAACTATGAATTGAAAAGGGAATAATGACCTGGAGAGGTGATGGGAGGTGACAGCAGACACCCTCTGTAATTTTAGTATGCTTTTAGCAATCTAGTGTATACATGAGCTACAAAGAAGACTCTGTTAGTCAGGACTGATTTAGAATTGCAGGTGAAGCACGTGTATGTGCACATGGGTGTTAAAAYGATCCTCATATGCTCTATGGGCACCAACCAGGCCCGCGTTAAGTCCTGTCGGGAAGGATTGCTGCTCATGCTCTGAGGAACCTCTGGCTTTATTTTCCTGGATTCCTCTTGGGAAAGACCTGGCTTGTCCTGTTCCCCTGGACCTGGTATTTACTTTTTCCTCATGAGTTTTAGGTCATGCTGGAAGTGTACCGGTGAAGCTGATGGTGTCCAAATCTGATAGAATAACAAAAGAAATTTGGACAAAGGAGAATCAAAGCAATAAGTTATAGCTTCTTTATCTCTGAAGTGAGCTAAGGAGCTCTCAGAGATGGTAAAAATTTAGTGTAATCTAATGACTTTTATCTAAAGAATATGTGAAGTTTCTCAGAAAGAAGTTGGAGATATTATCTGAAATGATCTTATGCCTCTTTTGTCATCAACCACTGAAAGAAAAAAAAAACAGTAAAGAAGATTGCAAATGGGCAGGCTACTGTGATTATATAATCACTTTGATACTGATTCTTTGACCTAATTTTGATGCAAAGAGGAGACACGGGTTTTCTTCATTTTGAATAGGTGCACGCAAAAGTCACAGTTCAACAGGTGCCAGAATTGTACCAAAATTCAGTGTTTTCTTCCCAGCAGCTGAGGAATTCAAATGAGGCTGCTTTGTTCCTTTTAAGAAGGTGGAAAGTGCCAGCAGAAACCTTATAAGTGCTGTCTGTGTCAGATGAGCTGGGAAGGGATATGCAAAAAATAGTACTGAGCTAATGGAAAGGGTCTTTTAATATTATCTCATACCCTGACTAGTGAATTCAGTGACAGTGCATCAGGAAGGTAGGATTTTTACTGTGAAAGAATCTGTAGGACTATGTCACTGTCAGGTGGATTCACAAAGACCTCCAGTACATGTGTGAGGTCTGTTCCTGGCCATCATGGTTTTTTGTTTTTTTGTTTCTTACTGTTGCTATTTGTGGAAAAGTTTGAAARGGAAAATGATTTTTTTATTAGAAAATCTCCAGGAAATACATTGTTTGTAAGGAATAATAGCTGAAAGCTCTTGCATTGTTTGACTTAAATAGCTGTTTTGTCTAGTAGTGGGTAGTTGTTGAAGTCAGAAAAATTAAMAGTTGTAGGAGTTACCAAGTTCAAGAGAGTGAACTGCAGTGGTGCAGAACACAGGTGAGAATCTACATTTTTTTTACATTTTTACTCTCTCCAAGCTCAGAGAAAATCACATTTTAGATAGTATACTATCTAAAGTGTATATATATAAAAGTATGCTTTTAAAGATTAATCTTAGAAGCTTTTTTTAAGTACTCTTTACTTGTAGTTTACTTGGAGTGTCCAGACTGTGCCTTGGCTGCTGGTGTTGGGTTCTTTAACCCCAGGCAAGTATAGATGCAGGGRTGAGATGTGGATAATTTTGTTTGTTTGTATTAAAGTTACGTAAAGTGGAAGTATTTTTTCCAGTTACAGTAGAGACGATCTGAATTCTATCTCAATAAAAATAGTTTCTTGGCTGCAATTCAGTTGCATTTTTAACCAAGACTTGTTTTTTCTTTCAAATGTTTAGGGTAAAATTAGGAATGTCAAAATCCCCCCAGGTATCTTAGGACTGTGTAATACTCCATTGCAGTCAGTATTAAACATGAGGTAATGCATCTCTTTGCCCTGTTTTTATTCTTCACTTCTTGCATACTGAGGCCATGTGTTCTAGGGATATAATTTAGTGACATCACCAGGTTGCTGGGCTGATGTGCAATAGTTTTTTTAAAAAAAAAAAAAAAAAAAAGTTAGTGTCAACGAGCAGATGCTCATTTTGAACTCTGATGGCGCTTCTGATCAATCTCGATGTTAAGTTGTACAATAACCTTACACTGTTCTTTATCTTCACGCGAGACTGACATAGTGAAGATGTTCACTAGTAGATGTAAGGATATGTTGGAAACTTTTCCAAGTTGTTGGAATTGATCAGAATATGTAGCTGGGAATTGATACAGTTTACAACTGTATGAGCTTTCATTTCTGTGGGAAGTCAGTTACAAATCAGTGTCGTCTTAAACAAAATGYCAGTGATTATGTCCTAAGTTTTAAAACCTAGGACATTAAACTTTGATGCATAGTTAATGCTTGCTTGGTTGCATACGTACTATATGAAAGTGTCATAAAAACAAAAGGAAATTGCTGTAAATAACTCATCTTGTACCTGTTTCAGTACTGTTATCTATAGAAAATCAATTTCAGAATATGARCCAATATCTACTCAATTGTCCACAATAATAGTATTGATAATAAAAGAGAATTTYATTGAAGAGAAAAGCAAAGAAGAGCAGAAAAGTCTCATACTGTAAGAAACTGCAGAAATGGATCAAAGATTTGACAGGAAGTTTAATGTGTACATAAGTAGAGGCTGACAGGAACATGCTGTGTGTGTCAAAGGTTCCAGTGATGGAAAACTGAAACATAGTGCTCACTGACCACAGCGTGAGCCTTGACACACACTGTAAATAACCCAAAGATATATGACTGCATTAAGCAGTAGACTGGTGTATTAACAGCAGTAAATCTAGACCAGCAGAAATGGTTGGCAGATAGGACTTGCTCTGATTAATATTTCTACCAGACTAATAAGAGTATTGCAGACATTTCAAACTGTGACAGTTTTCTCTTCTCTTCCAGAGTTGCCTATGTGGATAGCGGTCTTAGCACGGTAAAGATAAAAGCTGAAGACTCGTGTGGTCGACAACATCTAATCACACTGAAGCTAAATGCAAAGGTGAATTTATATATGGAGAAAATATTTTAAAGATTCTTGGAAAAAAGGAAAAGAAATGCATTATTTAAATTCATACGGTGTTAGATGATCTCTTTCTAGAAATGCTGGTATATTTTTTATGCAAGCTAATGTGTTTTGGTTTTGGCAAAATGCTGTTATATTGAGTAGAGTTTTCAGACTTYAACTTCATTTAAAATTCATACTATTTTATGGTTATCTGTAAGAATCTTTTCATACGAAGCTGCGCACCACATGCAAAAGCCTTTTATGATATTGCAATTATTTTACTGTATTACAGGCAAAGCCATTTGGGAGACTTTTGTTAATTATCTTTCAGTGCAGAGACTAAACACATAATAAGAGTTATAGCTGAGTTGCTTCTTTAGGAACTCTTACTACTGAAGCTGTAGAGAAGGATTTATGACAGGCTACCTAGAGAAGTGGGGTCCTTATGGTTTAGGGAAAAAAAAAACTTATTTTTAGGTAAAATAATTGACTGATTCTGACAGTGTTTGTTTCTGTCAGACTGTTCCTATTGCTAATTATCCCTATAGCTCCTTAAATACTGGGCTGATTTGTGTTTTGCAAATTTACTGTGCTGTAGTTTGAAGTGGAGCATGGAAGGCTGTGTGAGTTTTTGGCAGCACAAAGTCCTACGGATATTTCCTAGCTTGGATTCCTTCCTGAGGGGAACCAAACTAACGCCATGCTTGGAAAATTTTTACGAAATTTTAACATATCAGAAAGAATTAATGCTTTGTAAATTTTCACATTGCAAAACATGAATCTCTTACCAGAAAAACTGAATATCCAGGCTGTGTGGTGACAGCAGTAGAGTGTTGGTGTTGTCTTCAGAAAATCCACTTGGGGAAAAAAATGTATCCTGGAYGATCACTTTAGTGACTGTATGAGCTGTCGAAATACTGCTGGTTTGTGGTGGTACCTAGTGCAACATTTTGAGTAATAGTCTTGAAGGAATGGAGATGGGAAATGGCAGTGTAAGATGAAATTTCACCTTTSCAGATTTGGTATATTCCATGCTGAAATCTAGTTTTTCATAAGACGATTTTATTTTACCTTAAAGGGACAAAGGATCTTGTGGTTAAACTATTTCATTGTGGAGTAGTTTTAAAAAATAATAAAAGTGTATTTTAAATATACATATATACTTACATTTGCAAGCATACACATGGGTGATGAATGCATAACTAATTTGCTTGTCAGTCTAACTAAATACATTGATGGAAAAGTATGATGTCATGGTATTTAAAGTAAAGGAGCAGTATAAATACACCTCACTATATTATCTGTGTTCACAAGGGAGCTGCTTTTCCATACTTGCTATGACACTGCAAATGAAATGCACATTATTATCCCTAAAATTCCTTTTTAATTTAATGGCAAGTGAAGTACAGTACCATTAGGAACTAGAAAAATACACCCTGCTTGTGAAATACTGCAGGGAGTAATTGCCTTGAAGCAGATCCTAAGCAGCGTAGGTTTTTAGGAATCCTGCAGTTCTGCATGGAAAAAAATTCCCAGAAGAGCAGCATAGTTGAGCTCGGAAGAGATCTCTGAAGATCTTCCAGTCCAACTCCCCCTGCTTGTGTATGATCTCTACACAATCTATTACTAAAATATAAGTGGCTAATTATTAGATTCTGCATGTTGTAATTCGGGTTGTTTCTAGAGGTGTTCTGAGGCCGAGCACAAGGGAGAGCAGCTGAGGGCCTCTTCCCAGCACTCGTAAAAGGTGTCCAGAGGTCTGAAGCAGCAGAGTTTTATACGTCTGTTTTGTTTTATCAGATAACATTTTATAACTATTATTTTGGTATTACGATAATATTATGATATTATGTTATAAGATAATACATATTAATTTTAATTATATTATTGTAGAAAGCAGGTTGCTTGCCATTTTAATACCTCCCCCCCGCCCCAAATTTTAGTAGGCAACTGCAAGAACTTGAGTCTCGCTTAGCAAACAGGATGTTTTGAAGTAATCGTGTGAATGGCTTGGCCTGAGTTATAAAAGTTTGTTAGATGCATGCTCATAAATTAAATGTATGTATTTTCTTTAATAATTGCTTAAATTGTTAGGAAGAATTATAAGATGATTTCTAAGCTGAATTTGAATGAACTGTAATATGAAATATGATGTCTTCGATATGCTCCATCCAAGTATTTTACAATACCATCTCCTTGGGTATCTCCCTACCTTATCTTAYGTAGGATTTCATCTTGCAAGCATTATACTGAACCTATATACAGAATTATTGCTGCATAAAAATTCATAGTTGCTGGCAGTTAGCTGGTGCACGGAAGTACAACATTGTGCTGTTAAGGGAATTTGGCTAGAATGCAGAGCAAAATATGCTGTAGGGCTTCTTTAGAAATAATCCAAAGTTAGTGGAATCTGTTTGCAATCATTTGTTCAAAGGCATCCTATGAAAGAGTGCATAAAATGAATTTACTTACCAGAAAAGTTAGCACATAGTAGGCTAAAGCTGCTGGGGTGGTCCCAAAACTCATCCTACAGAGCGATTGCTGTGTTCTAGCCACACTTTTATATACAGAAAACAAGTTTACCTCACTCYGGCACTGGAGTATATCATGAAAAATAATACCAGCGCAAGAAGAAAAGAAACTAAACAGCTTTTGTGGATAGACATTTTAAAATTGGAACTGTCTCCCACCTAATTTAGATGTTTCAGGTCTCTTGCTGTGTCATTGTTGTTTAATTTGTCTGCCACCGATTTGATAAAACTGTAAAGCACAAGATATTTGAGTTGTAAATGTTGTCTTTGTAAAATGGATTTCTAGCAAAAAAAAAACAGATGAAGGGAAATAAAAAATGCAAGTTTAAAGAAGTTTCTGTGAAATACATAAATCTACTAGATTATCAAAGAAAATCAAAGCAATAGAATGGATGCTTTCAGGAAGCTGTATTTCTTATTTACTCTTTCCAGTAGACAGAAATTGGAAATGAGTGCAGAAATACATTTTGAGTAAAACCAAGATACATATTAAAAATTAAGAATGCCTCCTAAATAATGACACTACCTGGGCCTGGGGAGTTATTTTGGGCAACAGCAGAGTTAAGCTTCATCTCTGTCTTAACTCTTTAATTCTGTGAAGAAACTGAGACTTCTTTTTTGCCCTCTGCCTCCCCAAATAAGATTCTCTAATGCACCCGCTTGGATGGGCAGTTTATTAATATTCTGTTGATATTCTGTTTATTAATTTCTGTAAGTCTGCAGCACAGGTCCCTGCTAGGGTTTGATCAATTGCACTGTACTAAAGGTTAGATTAGACTAAAAGATGCAAGTTCTCAATAGAGAAGCTTTACTGATAAGCTGATAAAACTTTGGATGGCCGCTCTTAGAAAAGAACGTTATTAATTYGTAACTCAACATTTTTTTCTTTGACCAGTTTGTTCCGCAGGATTCACGTTAGGGTGCTGAACTGTAGTGAATTTTCTAGTAAATGGTGATTTTTTTGAGTTATCCAAGTTCTTTATATACCTTCAGTTTTTTAATACCGCTATTTTTCCTTGTCCTCATGGGTAATTCTTAATTTGGGAGATGGGAGTTGTTTGCTTTCATTCTGGGTACAGTAAGCCCTTTCTAAGGAGGCATGTGCTTACTCTGATTACTTCAAGTTTCAAAACCAGAAATGCTGCCCGGAACAGCCCGTACCATTCCGCTTTAAATGCGAATTCCTTCATGGGTCACATGGGAGCTTTTCCTYGCTTCCAGCTCCAGTCCCTGGGGGGTGAGAGTTTTGCCCAGGTAATGGGCAAATGTCCACGTTTTCTTTTAGACAGATAGGGTCAACATGCCAAGAAAGCCACTTTTTCACATTTGACCTTTTTGTCACAGAAGGCTCTTCTTTTTTTCCAGTAAATCTTTGAAAACATTGAGCACATCACAAACTGTGAATTCTCTTCCTCTGGTAAAATCTGATACACAAAAATGTTGAAGTGAAGATTTCTTCTTTAAACGATAATTAATATTTATAACTATTTCTGCAAATGCTTTACATATTTTTCTTTTGAAAGCCAAATTCTCAAGATGCTTGAAGTGCTCACATTTCATTAGCAAATTTGGCAGCTCAGTATGTCTCACTTTAAATCACATTTGATTAATTTAAAAAAAAAAAAAGAAAGAAAGAAAAGTAATGTATTTTTTTCCTTCCCTCAGTATCCTACAGACCCACCAGATTGCCTTGTGGATTTTCCTGTTCAGTTTGCTGTTTCTTGGATGCCCCAGGTAAAATGCTGTAGTATGCATCTTTTTTAATACCTGCAAAGCTATTAAAATATATATGCAAGTTAATCTGATTTTTTTCTGGAAAATACTTGGTGCTTAATTTCTTTTAATTCAAGAAAATAGATTTTACATAAGTGATGGCTTTTCATAATTCTAACCCTTGCCAGGTTTTCTACCCATCAGTAAATTTAGCCTGTCTTTACTGTGTTGCATTTATGTAAGGAGCACGGCTGGAGGTTGCATCAGTCTGGGTTCAGAACGACTGTAAAATTGTGACTGCCGGGCTGCGTGTGCCGCCTCGGATCGCATCCGTGTCGGAGCCTCAGCAAATACCTGCAGGAATGGATCACTGCAAATGAAAAATATATTTATTTCCGTATAGAATTTTTCCTGTAATTTTTTTATTCTTTGGTATGGTTCGGGAAATTTAGGTATTGTTTATCCCTTCGCTTGTACTGGATTCCATATACTGCAGGCAGAATTTTACCTATCATTTCTAACTTTGTATGCATTTTGAATATTACTGTCTTATTAATTTTACAGCCTTGTAAATGCTCAAACAAAACTGGTAGTAAAATGAAGGAGATTTTCAAGTGGGTGAGCATTGTGGTTCCTAAAAGGGGAACAGGATTTGCTTTACATGTCTGCGGCGTAGGATTACGTGAAGTTTTGATAAGTCTTCAATATGTGTGGGTCACCTTTCATGTAAAAAGTGACAGGCTTAACTAAAATTGTGCAATTGCATTATTATAATATAAACTCCTGTGAAAAAGAATATAAATAGATTTCAGGTAATTGATTTTTTTCTGTCTGCTGTTGCCTATTTCAGGTTCCTTTCACTGCTATGGACTTGAAACTTTTTTTTTTTTTTTTTGTATAATAATAGACATGGCTTTATGGCATCCATATTAAAACTGGGTAATTTTCCTTATGGTCCCTGTCTTCCTGCTGGGTTGATAATGTTTTGATGTATTTTTCTTTTGCTCTGATGAGAGGTCTGCTGCTGCTGCTCTGACATATTCATTTGGATGAATAATTATAACTTGCACAATGTCAGGCTGAAGATGGTGGGGTTTTGTGCGTCGTGACAGGCCTAGTAGCCAGTGCAGGTGTCTCACAGCAGGATCAGCAACAGCCAGTGGATTCTGGCTCGGAGGAGACATTTTAGAGTAGTAAGAAATCAGCACCAAGGGCAATGCTGCTGCTGCTACCGTTACAAGTGCCAAATAAATGCAGAGTGCTTCTCAATGACAAGCGCAAGAACATCTACTTATTCCAGTTATATTCTTGTTCTAAATACCAGATAAATGTGCTGGCTCCACGTTTCCGCGCGCCCTGCAAGCTCCGCTTGGCAGGTTTCGTGCGTCTCGATGCTGGTGCCCTCGCATCAGGGTGTTGTTTCTGCACTGCCCACTGCCCACCTGCTTTGGTACATGAAGGTCAGGAGAGTGGGAATTAATGACTAATGAGGTCGTGGAGCCAGCCAGCAACGAAGCAGCCATATAGGATTCGGAAGGTATAGTGATGTGAATTATCCTGCAGTCGTTTTGATAGGAACACACTGAAATTTATCATACCTGTGCTTCCTTTAGGCAAAGGAGCTTCACACGCCTCAGCTTCCTGTGCTCTATATTAATACAGAAAGTTTGGGTAGCTRACAGGAAACTATATTTAGTTTGTGAGGAATAAGCGGTAGTCTGAACGTATTTGAAGGACCATAAATTACTTAGGTGATGCAGGAGATCCCTTGGCCAGCCAACAGTTGTTCACTTTATTGAATTGTTTTCTGTCTACCCAGGGCTCTGGTAAGCTGATGCTTACGGGCTCACGGCCGTGGTTTCCTGATACCTGCTTGTAGAGTTTCTTTAATATGTATTGCAATGCAATTCCCGAATTATGACTTGTATTTTCTATATCTTTTAACTTTGACTTTGTGATACGGTTATATTTTAATTGGTCTGAACGCGGGTCTGTTTTTAACTATTTTTAACTATATTTTAACATTTATTGCTTGAAATCCCACATGAGAACATGGATAAAGCTCAGAACAGTGAAACAGGTATCCTTTTGTACTGGCAACATCAACATTTCTCAAGAAAACCATCGGCACAAAACTCTCCCTTCTAAAACACAGAATGGGGGTAAGATCCTTCTAGAGGAGGAAAAAACATTTGACTATAAAAGGGACTTTTCCCTTAATTAAGAGTTCAGTTATCTCTAAAAATAAATACATGTGAAGGTCCATCTAAGTCTGTATTTGTGGCAAACCTCCAAAAGGTGAAGAAATTCACCTGGCTAATGCTGGGTCTTGTTGTCTACCAGAAGTCATCCTAATTGGCATTAAAGGGCTTTCTTTAGGCAACTGAATTGTAACCTCCTCATCAGAGATGTCGGCCACTTCAGCACTTTAAGAAGTGGCCTGTTTTGATAGGATTAAAGGGGGAAACGCACTGACCATCGGGGCTGCTCTTACTGATGAGTCACCAGGGGAGGAAGGAACAAGGGCAAGTGCAGATGTGCAGGAAGCAGCGAGGCTTGGACAAAGCCACGTGCAGTTCTGTTCTGGAGTTTGGAGCACACCGGAACGTGCCTTTTGGAAGAGGACTAATTAAAATCCTCGCGGTCACATGTGCTGCTCTGTAAGCCCGTCCGTTAACAGGGATTGAGTGTGTCATTCCAAGCCTGCCCATTGTCATCTGTAGAGACAAAGACTGAGCAGATGCATTTCTAAGATTTTCCCTTAAATATTACAAATATTCTTGGAAGCCTTGCAGCATATTTTATTGGAGGCAAGAATTAGCCAAGTATTTAAGTCGCTTATTAATAAGTCATTTATTAATATCGCTTAGCACCTACTAATGGAATTTTTGCGGCGAAGAATTGGCATGAAATTTAGAAACKAAGTTTCCTTTGGGATAAGAGTTCTAGATTCACCTCCCATCTATATGGAATTCCTTAGAATTTATTATATCAATCTCTGTATTAGCAATGTTATCATTTGTCTCTTGATACAAAAACCATAAATATGTACCTGGTTGAGACTGCCWTTTTAGAGGTTGTAGAGTCCTTCTTTAACCCTCCTTCCCCAACAACCTCTCACACTACTAAACACTGTGTTTCTTGTAAGTGACCTGTGAGAAGCATCTTGGTGTGGTTTGCTAGACCCCTACAAAAATGCCTGTTGTCTCTTTCTCTGAGATTCTACTGATTTTGCTAGTGTAACTGCTCATTGCTGTATTTCATGTTAATTCCTAACATTAGTTACTATGATACCAGTTCCTTTAGGTATTATTGAATTCTAGGTTTTTCTTACTTTCAGTATTTTTTCCCTTTTCATTTGTCTTCATTTTTATAACTGTCTTAAATTCCTCTAATTTTCTGTTTTCTTAGGTGCTTGAAATACCTCCCAATTTTATGACAATTGTGAATTCTTTCAGCTTGCTATTTATGCCATTTTTAAGACTTCTGACTGATCTGATAGAATATTTGATTTTCACTGACCAAAATATTTGCTTCAACTCCCGCAGCTGTTGCCATTAAAAGAGGAAAAGTATCATCTCGTGGGAGATATAAAACAGTTTGACCAAACTTTTCTGAAGCTGCTGCTGAGCCATTTGAAAGTTGATATGTTTACTTTTTTTGTAAAATAACAGCTTTAACCCAGTCTCTTCAAACACTGGTTTTCAGAAGCTGATATCACAGATTCACGACCCCCCAATTAACATTGAATTGATATTCAGACCATATTGCAGTTATATTTTGTATGAGTATATAGCAGATTTTTGCTCCATGGAACCTAGAGTGAGGTGGCACTTGGATGCTGAATAAACGCGCTGCAGACAGGGAAAACCRTCCGTATGGAGAGTCATTTATGCTGCGGTCTCACAAGACATCCCTAGTTATATTCCTCATTTTAATTCGGAAAATTTGGGAGCATAGGCTCCCAGATTAAAATTGGAAAAATGTGCAGAAATCTTGAGCRTTTAGAACTGAGATTCTAGATTTGAGATTTAGAAATGAGTGATGCCATCGCATCTGAACGCGAAGCCTTTGGAGCATTTCCATGCTAGCGTTTCCTGCCTCCCGCTGGCAGCTAATTCCTCCGGCATGGACAGCTGATTTTGTCACTATCCTTAGGAGTCAGAAAGAACAAGCAAGGTAGAGATCACAGATTAAAGGAAAGCTCCATTTGTTTGCAGTTGTTTTGAGGGATTGAATCTTGATGATCCTGGAATGTCCTTTGGCCCGCTGGTCACAGAAAGCTGAGGAGTAACCACTTTATTTTTGTTGCGGGTTTTTACAGGTAGGTAGGCAGTTAGTAAGGGTGTAATATGGTGGTAATAGTAATGATGTACTGCATTATGAATGTCTTATTTTCCAAGAATATTGGGCCTRTTTCATACAAATCCTGTTGCAGTTGCACGGTTGTTAGCAAGCAGAGGATAGTTTGTGGTCTTGGACATTATTAACAAGCCTCTTGGTGCGGTGCGGGCAAGAGGAGCATCGATAGCAGGCTGCTAGAAGAACAGTCTTGGGCAATGACCAAAAATTAGCGGGTTAATCAAATAAAAACGAATGTTACCATTTTTATGGTGTGCGTGACAGGCGTGTGATGTATTTAAATAGCTATAGATGCGTTTATGTACATAGCAGGAGACAGCTGGCAACATCARTGAAGCACGCAAGGAAGATCAAATGAAGAGTGCATTTAAAGAAAAAGATTTAACTACCTTTTTAAGGGACATCATTGAAAAATTACAATTAGTATTAAAATTAATTGGATTTTAAAACTTATCTGTGAGTTAYAATCCCTTGATGTTTCTTTTTTTTCTAGTGAAACCCTTTGAATTCCCGAAAGATAAAGATAAAAACGATTATTAGAGGATTTATCTGTATGTGATATAGAAAAATGTAAAAAATCAAAATGGAAAGCAACTGTTGCAAGTACCAGAAAATTATGCTATTAATTTAAGTGTCATCAGAGCACAAAAGATCACATTTCAGGACTGTGTGAAAATTATTAAATATTGGAAATAATAGTACTTAAGATCAAGATATTATACTCTAAGATGTGGTTAAGTGACTGACACTATTATATCACTTCAGGTATTATAAAAGTAACAAAATGCTTTTAAAGATAATAAGCATTACATTTTGAAATTGGCAGTATTCACACTTTTCTGCTTAAGTGCTTTCCTACTTTAATATAATTTAATAATAGCAGGAAAAATGTAGCATTTTATTTCTAAGCTACACCACATCTTTCTAAAATATGTATGCCTAAAATATAAAAACATATCCCATGTAAAATCATAAATACTCTCTGATAAAGAAATATGTGATTTTGCTTCTCCTTTTGTCCGTGGGAGAAAGGAAGTAATTACAAATTATTAAGAGAAACCACGTCAGGTATATTTGTGTGTGTATGCAAAAATACCTCTTTAAGAAGTGATCATTTGTTTTGCTTTTTAGCTTGTTTCATGTCCAAAAGATAAGTGCAGTGAGGTCCTTGTTACACCCTTTTCTTTTTCATTTGAAATGCACTTTGTGACCTCTTTATTGTAATCAAAAATCTTTTCARTCATTTCTAATTCCTCCTGCTTTTYACCCATGCCTTTTTAGTTATGTTCTGTATAAAAATAATGTAAAAATACCTTTCAGTGCTTCCAAACATTTTTTCTAGTTTTGAAACCTYGAACCACCTTTTTTTCTCTTTTTTTCCTAGTTAACTTTCCTTGACTGCTGCCTGTTTTTCTCCTTGTATCTTGACACCTTCACTTTTTTGTCTCTCAGCTTCATCTGTCCACATGAAGGCAGCTCCTTAGTCTCCCTGTGGTCTGTTCATGACAGTTCCAAATTCCTCCACTGCTTATATCAGATTCAAGCTTCCTTCAACTCAACCCCTGTTATTATTCCAACAAAACTCATCTCTTTCCTCCTCTTGCATTTTTYACTTCCTTTCACCTCCTAGTTCTCTAAATCCATAGTCCTATATTGTCCCCTCTGGGCATCTGAACGTTACCAACTCACCTGCTGAGGGTTTTCTCTCCTTAGTCTTTTTCTTTAGAAATAGCTACTACATTTTTGCTCAGTGATAATTTGTGAAACTCCTCTTCTGAATGAGCATTCTGCCTRTTGTCCTGGTAATCACAGATTCTCTGATTTCATCCAGTCCAGTCTCAAATATTGACGCGCCTTGAGTGTAATGCTCCAAGTATTGCACAGTTCCTCCTCCTATCTCTTGACCTATTCAGATGCTTTGCAATATAAGGCTAAGTACCTGTTTTTGTAATCCTTGATGTTGAGACACTAACAATGTTAGGTTATTTTCCTTAGATTATTTGTTTTCTAATCATCTACTTCAATTATGTGGCCATTTCTGAGTATTTCTGTGTGGTACCACAGTGGTGTTGCTCAGCACGAGTATTGCTGGTAAACGTATCTGCACTTGTAGCAAGGAAGTCCAGGTTGTCCTCCCTGTTAAATGCTGCAAAAGTAACTTCTCGTCTGGAAGAAGTCCTGTCAGCTGCCTGTTTTCTAGCCCTTCTCCTCGTTCTGGAGTTATTTTATCCCAGGGTTCCTACTTTTCCTCTTCTAGGGTCAGGCGTGAGGGAAGACACAGTTCTCAATGCCTATTTATAGCGTATGAAACCTTCTTAAAAGTAAAATCCTTGTGCCAGAATCTCTTCTGGGTCTGGAATCATCAACTCTTATTTATATTGTTAAGTTTTTACTGAGGTGATGAAAAATAGGGTGCATTTTCTATCAAGTACATCTGGAAGTAGGAAATCTCTGTAGTAAGAAGCACTCATCAGGAGGACAATCTCAGGAGTTTAATAGCAGATAATAGTGATTTTTACTTGCAATTTGCAGTGGTTTGTGTTATAAGCTATAATGAAAATGGGTAGTTTTGGTCAGTTTTCAAAACAGTTTTCTGAAAAGAATATAAAGCACTGTCAAATCCAGGTCTGGTGGATTTATACATGTTGGAAGTCTGAGCAGAGTAGTTAGTTGTACTTGGAAGTTAGCTGTGCTTGATTTCTCTTTGTTTGGATTAAAAATGCTGTATTACTATGTAAAGATCAACATTTTTGTTACATTAATATATGAATTGTGCATATACTAGGTTTGAAAACTTCTAAAATGACCTACATTTTTTTTTTGATTTTTTCCATATGGCTGTAGGTAGAGATCTATGTAATATCTGYTTAAATTTCTTCTTTTCTTAGAACTCCTTAATAGACATTTATAACCAGTTCCTGGCAGCATTAGAATCACTGAAAGAGTTCTGGGATGCCATGGATGAGATCGATGGGAACACATGGGTACTTGAGCCAGAAAATCCCCCACGGAGCGCCACAACCAGGAGGATTGCAATAGGTAGGAAAAGGTTAGAAGGCAGACGAGGGGTTTTAACACTAAAAGTCACAGTGCTGTTTTGCTTTGCTTATTTAAGAAGATGGTGCCTCTTGGATTTGGGAAAATTGAAGGTTGCACTTGAAAATGATAAACCACACTYCTTACTGTGTATAAAACATTATCATGCCACAAAATGCTGAATTAGTTTAGGATATAAAGTATAACTTTACAGCGTTAAATATAAATTGGAAATTCCTATAGAAAAATCTTGTGTATTTGTAAATTGTGTGAGCGTCAAAGTTGAAGTCTTCTGTAACTCGTGGAAATCAGAATTTATAAAAGTACAGCTCTAAAAAATCCCCATCTCATTCTGTCACCGCTGTAATGTTATTCTTTTGAAAATTCTGTAAGATTAACCTGTCCTGAAAGAGCAAAAGGGGAATCAAAGGCAAGAGAGAGAAAAGGAGTTAAGGAGGCATGTGGAAAGGACAAAGGAAAGAGAGAAGAAAAGAGAGGAAGTTAGAGGCAAAAAGTGTTAACCACCTGAAAAATACTTTAATTCATATGGTCATACAGCATTCGGAGGTCTTAACATAGAGAATAAGGAGTATTGTACTTGCAGAGGAGAAACTTGCCACTGCCATAGGTCAAAAGCACAGGGGGAAATGTTATCTTTGAAAGAAGATTGCTGATTTTCAGCTTAAGCTCAAAATGTCAAAAGTTTGTTGTAGAAATCTGAGAACCGAAGGTTGTTCTGGGGGTGCTGCCTCCTCCGCAGTGCTGGGAGACGCAGGAAGGCCAGAGAGGAAGAGGAGAAGTTGAGTGGTCAGCAAGAAGGCCACAGGTCCAGCCAGACTTGCAGCACAGCTCGGACTTGGTTCTAAGTGTGCTTTGTATAAAAAGCACTGAGAAGGGAAGGGAAGGCTCAAAAGGTTCCTCACGTCACCTCACATCACAGGAGGATGGTAGAAAACACTGAGGTCTCTGTTGTGGATCGCTGATAATCATCAGCTGGAGCTAAACTTTCCCATTTCATTCATTCTTAGTGAACTGGTCAAAGTGCAGGCAAGATCTGCATCCAGCATGTGGATTTTTCTGGCCAAGAGAGAGTGCCCAGGAACTGTGGTCCTCAGAAACAGGCAATCCCAAAAGCAGTTCAGATCCTCAAACCAGGTCCTCTCTCATGAAACAAGTGTGCACACGTGCAAGGGGAGAGCCCTTGAAAGACCCTTAACACTAAAGGATTTCACTTCTCCTTTAAAGAGAGCACGCTGTGCGTTCCTGTTAATTTCACAGTCTGATCTCCCACACATCTTTCCATTTATAAAATTATTTACCATGAGTTTTTAAACCTTCCAGAGCACTTGGAGCCATTTGTCCCCTTTTGAATAGCAGATGCCAAGAGGAGGAGTTGAGGATCTGCCACCATTCAAAATAACGATACACATCGATACTTACTTAGCTTCAGAACCAGAGCATTGCTTGCTCAGCCCAGAGGAGAGACTAACGTACCTCATTTTTCCTCTTACTGTTGTCTTTCTTTGTCCTGTTTTTGACCATAAAAGACGATGAGGAATTAATAACATCTGTACTGTTTTAAAATTTGACAAAGATTTCAAATGGATTGTTTCACATAGCTTGAGTTTGATTATACAGAAATGGAAGTCTTAAGGTTAAGACTAGTCTCTCAGAAATGTAAGACTGGCAATTATTTTAATCACTTGCTATTTTTCATGAGTCTATTGAACTGGAAATACTTAGTATATACTCTCGTTTTGTACAGTTAACTCATCCATCAACTTTTTCATTACTTGTAGTAACAACTTGTTACTAGTAAAAACCTGTAGTAGAAACTTGTTACTACAGGTAACAAGTTACTGCAACCCAAACTAAGTATTTTAAAACTGCTGAAAAAGTTAATATTTCAGATTTCAAATAGAGCTTGGTTGGTCTCTGCCTGACTGCAAATCCCTGTTTTTCTCCCCGTAGGCAGCAACGTGTCRGTGAACGTAGAGGTGGATCCGAGGCATCCCACCATGCTGCCCGAGTGCTACTTTCTTGGCGCAGATCACGGTAAGGCAGCAGCCATCCAGTGCAAGTCTAGTCTAGTCAGCCATCTAGTCTAAGCTCCGTCAGTGTCTGGGGATAAGAGCTACTTAGAGAGCCAGAAATTACTAAGATGAATCTGTGCATACTGGGGTTTCACAGAGTGTATGTTGATTTTTAAATCAACACAAGCTAAATTCAAGGCAAGCTCTTTTGCTGTGTCAGTTTGACAGTCTTCCTTTTTTTCCAGTGCTTTCCTAGCCCAGTTTAGGGGTAAAAGCTGTGTCCTACAGATGTTCATATTGATGACTATCCAATCATTTTTTATATACTTAAAAACAAAAAAAAATCACTTCACTTGCCCTGATAATGTCTGGGAGCATTTCTGGAGTGTTTTGCTTTGTTTGACACAGCTTTTTACCCTCCTTAACAGAAATAAGATCATATGTTAAGAGTATGGATTTCCAAAATTGATCACTTGGCACAGTAATCAACGTAGGTGCCTTAAATTGTTAGCAAATTCTTCCTCTTGAGTGCAGAAATGTAAGAGATGGAGCTAGGAGGAAAGAGGCCAGAGAAAGGGGGATCCTAAAGATATTCTAACTATTTATGTACATTGTTTGCAGTGGTTAATCCTTTGAGAATTAAACTGAACAACAACATGCACTTGTGGTAAGCATCCTTCATAACAGATGTTTGAAATTAAAACTCTGTTTGCTTCTCCTTGCCTTGACTCTTTTTTCCTCTCCCCATCATTTGCAGGGATCCAGAAATCAGCCTATTACAAAACTTGAAAGACATCTTAGAAATTGATTTTCCATCTCGTGCTGTGTTAGAAAAAAGTGTAAGTTGTTTTTGTTAATGATCAGTTGTTATTTCTGAGTAAGTAAAATTTAAATAGCCGCTTTCTAACTACTAGCAGAAATAAGAGACTTAGAAGAGAGGTAATTGGATTAATACATTGTCATAAGGACTTCTGAACTTCAAGCAACAATTGTCAGAGCTTGTTAACCTTTGATTAGAGGTGCACACTTTCCTGTGGCCTTCATTGTGAAGCCTGTTATTAATCGCCTTACTACTATTAAAAGGGAAAGAGGAAGTTTCAGAGTGGCTAATGAGATGTGGAAAATCCAAACATTCTGTTACAGATGTTGATGAGTTACCATTCTAATTAGGTAGAGCTGCTTAGAGGGGACAAGAGGCCATCCAAATACTGCTGCATTTCAAACAAACTTGGAATTAATTTTTGACAGTGCTGTACCACTAGATTACTAACTTGGTTTTCACTTGGGAAATTTTTATATTAGTTTCTGACTGTGCACTCTTGTGTCTAATGTCATGTGTAATGACAAAGCGTTTTCTTTGTTTAAGAAGAAGAAACTGAGGCCCAGCTGAATTAAATGCTTCTCAGACTGGACATAGTTCAGGAAGAAAATAAAACTTTGCAAAGGCTTCCAAATCTAAAACTAATCTTGCTCCTCAAAATGATGCAAATAGGTACTTGAAGGCAAAAAGAGTTAGAATTAATTACTAAGTAATAAAAATTGCAAAACCCRAGGCTCTGCGTTGCCAGGCCTCTTTTCCCTTCCCGTCCTCCTGTAAGCTGACCCGTGGTGTTTCACAAGGATTTTACGAAGGAGTGTGGGATCTGCTACGCCTTCCGGCTGGATGGCGCCACCCCGGATCACGTGTGTGACGAGCCGCGCTGCGGGCAGCCCTTCCACCAGGCCTGCCTCGCCGAGGTAAGTGCTGCTAGTGCCCCCCACTCGCTTAGCTGCTGCACACCTCGCACAGCCAGCACGGTGCAGCTCAATTCAAGTTGAAGCAGAATTTTGTCTAGGAATTGGTTTGTCTTCTAAGACCCAGCTCGTAAGTCAGCTCACTAGAGAGAGGGAAGTTGCCCCAGTTGGCGTCCGTGCAGGATTTAACTAGACTTGCATCGCTGGCAGATGTTTATCAAGAACTCTGTAAAAAACTTGTGGGGGGGACAGACTGTGGGGAAACTTGGCTTTAGACAAATGAGAAGTTTAATCCAGTGATTGCTGTTGCAGTGGCTGCAAGGTCTTCCTTCCAGCAGACAGAGTTTTAATGTCATCTTTGGTGAATGTCCATACTGTAATAAGGTAAGGAAATGTAATGTGTGTGTGGTAGTAGCTTAGGCAAAAGAAAAATTGTAACAAAAGCTTGAGCAGGATAAGACTTCTGACTTCCTATTTTTATTCCAAAAGACAAAATAAGAATAAAAACATTTTGAGGAGGAATCCCATACATTCTGAATACCATTCAACTAAAGATGTACTGCAGCGGAGAGGCTGAAGCTGGCTAGAATTGAGTTCTCAAGATGAATTATCAAGAATAGTTTTTGCTATAGTGTTGTTATATCAATGGGCTAGCACTCATGCTATAAATAGCCTAATAAAACTAGTTTAGTGCATATATAACTTAGTTTGGATTTGGAAATTTTATAAGAAATAGCTTTTAAAAGATATATATTCATAGTAATATTTTACAAAAATATTTTCCAAGCCCCTGACACTGAAGACTTCTATGAAGAAACCTTGAAGAAAAGAAAAACAGCTTGATATGAAACCACTGCACTAAAAACAAAAACAGTTGAAGAAGTCACATCAAAGAAAACACAAGGAAAGTGATATTAATAACAGAAGTACAACTATAGTTACACTGTAGCAGTATATTTCTCCAGTAAATCTAAACCCAGACCTAGTGGCTTTACACGAACCAGCGATGCCAGAGAGGTTTTCTTGCAAAGGTGCCACCTCAGCTGCAGCCACGCGGTTGTCTTCCCAACATACTGCCTGAGGGTGGAGTTCCCTGCCCGGGTATCTCTGCAGGCAAACAAGACAAACAAACAAGAAACACCACAAAGAGTTTAGCATTTGCCTGAGTAAGAGCTGGAGCAGAAAAGCAAAGATGCCAAAGATGGCATCTGGAAAGCTTGCTCCGGGAAGGCCATGCTGTTTGGCTAAAGCCTTAACTCTGGCATTTGCATGATTTTCGTCAGGATTATTCCTTCTAAAATACATTATGATTTAGCCTTTTAGGCAGCAGTACCCTATGTTTATTACTGAAATCAACAACTGATGTTCCTGTATACCTCTGCCCTGTGTTCCCACAATACATTATGGTATTAATACATACAGGATTTATAGAGTTCCTGCGAATAAGTTTTAGCCTGGAAACCTGGGCAGTACTCAGGGGTTGGATTGGCTGTTTCAATTTGCTGCATTTGTTGTATGCATTTTTTTTTTTTTTTTGTATTTTATAATGAAACTGAATTTCCAATTCATCACAAATGGCAAAAATACGCTGTTACCATTTTCTGTTATCCTTGGTCAGTTTTTTCTTTTTAAAGTTTTCAGAAGCACTGGCATCCTTTCCTACAGCTCTGTTTCCTCCCTATCCAAGATTTCAAACCCCACCTTTTACCATACCTGTTACTCTCCCTTAGACAAATTTCTGAACTTTCATTCACAGACTTCCCTCTGTTCAACACCCTATATTCCAACTGGAGCTTGAAGGAAACACACCTTGGTTGCATGGCTGTACTCAACCTAAATGTATAGGAATATGATACTTTGCAATAAAATAGAAAACAATCTGGTATTTAAATGTTGATGGACTCAGCTTTGTTTCTTTTCTCCCTTTGTGAGGGCATCCCTCTGAATTTTCATAACATCAGTACTGCAAATTCTACTTTATATTTCCTGTGCTGATCTCTGTAATTATGGGAAAAGGAAAAAGAGGAAGCTGGCACTACAGAATACACTCCATCATGGCCTTTTTTCCTTCTCCCGTTTCTGATTTGAATATCTTAATTTTAATCTGACTCTCCACTATTGTGCGTAATAGTGGATGAGTACTACAGGCCTCTTCTACTTAGTCACAGCATTATTAATTATATTGAACAGTGGCTTTTCCTTCTGAAAGGCGAAAATCAAAACACACAATCTAAATAGCAGACCAGTGATTTGTCCCATTTCTGCTAAATGTCCTTTTTTCGGGTTCCCCCTGAGGGTGAGGGGAGCATAAATCCCCCCTGGTGCTTGCTGTTCCATGGGACAAGGGGGTTACCAGGATATCAGCTGTTTTCCCTGCCTTGCAGTAGGAGACCCAAATATGCCTCTCTTTCCATAACCACCTGCTATTTAGGGCTAAAGTAAGTGCTCTAGAAAGTATACAGGAATTATGGGGGTGAAAGGAGTTATTAATTTCAGTATATTAAAAAATAATTTGCTAAYGGAGGACTATCAAGTAGCACGTAAAAGCAAAGTCTTAATTGCTACCTGCAGGCTCTAGCACGGCGCAGGCCCCTAGAGCCTTTCCGTGCGTGGGGGCGGTCGGGGTCGCCACGTCACGGCCGCGCGCGCCGCCTTTCCTGCTTCACTCGCCTGCCTGGCACGGGAGGCTCCGGCAGTGATGGGCAGGCTGCCTGAAGCAAAGCATTTGGGATTAATAATGAAGCGCTCTCTCAAGTTTTCGTTTATGTACTTAATAACTTGCTATATGACCATGATTTCCTTCTAGTCAAGTGAAGCAAATAGGGCAGTTTCCATGTTAGCATAGATGTAAACCCCACAGAAAGAAAAGGAAGGAAGGAAGAGACTATGGTTATTAAGATGTACTTTGCACTGTGTTATTTTTACTAAAACATTGAAGGTTTTTTCATTCCCTAGAAAGGCAGAGTTGCAAAGTAAGCCTGAGTATATGCATTGAACCCTTTTGTGCAGGAATTACCAAAAGTAGTTGAGCTGGGTGAGTTAGTGTTTAAAATCTTTGCATTAAGAAGTCAAAATTTAGGACTAYTGTTTTAAGAATTCAACTACTCAATTAAAATGCTATCAGCTTCTGTGCTACTAAGAAAAGGAAACTACTGAGGGAAGTGTCCAACAGAAAAGAAAAAAACAACAAAAAAAAAAACCCAGTAACTGTGAAAGGAGACTGTTGTTTCTACCTTTATGCCAATACTTTCATCTCGTGGACAGATAACACCACTGCACTATTGAAAGTGCAGTGCCTTTACTGCCACACTATAGAAAAAAATGAAACAAATTTTAGTTTGGAAACAAACATCTATTTTCTTTGTGATTAGCCAGAATCAATCACAGAACGATGAAACAGTCGGAAGGGGCCTCTSCAGATCATCCCGTGCCGCCCGCCCTGCTCAGGATCTGCGCCCGCTAACRTGCCCTGTAGACAGCAAACCTCCAGCTTGCAAAGGGGCACTGGAGGCTGCTTGAAGCAGCTCCGCTTTCTTTTGGGATGGGTCCTGCCCGTCCCTCACCTGCTGTCCCTCAGGCTGCTTGGTCCCGTCGTTCCATTCAGGCGGCTTCCCGGGAGCCTGGAGTTTTCTGCGCGTTACGGGAGCACGGGGCCTTCTTGGCAGCTCCGCGTCGTCAACCTGCATCTCGCTTAGCTTCCATTCTGCTGCTTGCAGGGAAGGCTTTGGGGCAGGAACCTGTTGATAGACACATGGTAATTCTGGACCCTGAAACAAACTCAAGCGTGTTGACAGTTGTCACAGGCACCATTCCAATCCTTGAGTCTGTCAGGTCTCAGACAAGCAAGGCTGGCGCCCTGTTTGCACTTGTTACTTAGGCTTCACCAAAAATACTGCCRTTTAGGCTTGGAGTAATACAGTCCAACAAGCACGTGACAATTCCTGTTGGGTGTAACTTAGGGTTTAGGGACGGGCTCTCCTTCCCTTCTCCACCCCAAAGGCAGGCACTGAGCTAGCGAAGCCGGAAACCTCCCCAGGGACCCCAGGAATTACTAACGATAGTGCCCACATCCTCACGTGCAGAGGCTCTGCTTGGTGCAGCGTCACGGATTGAAGCGGCTTCTCTTCAGCGTGAYGCCGTCGTGCTGCTGTTGCCCCAGCACAGGGTTTGCTTTGAGAGCTGCACTCTTCACCTTGCATCCTTTTTTGCTTCGGTTGGACTGGTTTTAGGGCAGCCTTCGGTGAGCGGACCTGTTGATGTATGGTTAGCAATTCTGTATAGTAAAAAGCCYTCCATTTTTGACAAACATAAATGTTTTCAAGTTCAGTACCAAAAATGTAAAATGRGAGATGATACAATCTCTCTCCAAAGATTTGGTTTTAACATTTTAATTAGCTTTAAATATTTTCTTCAAAATGTACAAAAAACCATGCTATATTTGGGAAAAATGCTCGGTTATAAACTTGGTTATAAATTTGAAAGCCTTCATCAATAACCCTTAATGAGAACAATGCCAATATGTCACTGTATCATTATTCTGGAGAGCTGAAAATATCCCTTATCACTGGAATCAATCAAATGCAAAACTGTTTAAAATAAGGTAATTCCTAAGTCCTTCCACTCAGGTAATTCAACTTGGGAGTGAAGTCTCGTGCACTTTTGCAGTCTTCTCACATGTACTGGGAGATACAGTGTGACTAGTTGCAGGAGTTAATGCAAGGGTTTTTTCCAGTGCTGCTCTAAGCACCAAGTATGAAATGATGTCTGTTTTTGGCTTTTGTAACTTGGAAGACAACTGTAGCCAAAACACAGGCTGTATGCCACATGCCTTTGGTACTTCTGGCACGCTAATAACTCTGTAACTGTAATGTTTGCATATGGTCCTCGATGCAGCAGCTGCAGCTGAATGTAGCAGCTAAAAATGAAGTAATAAGCTTCTTTTTGTACTGAAAATTAAATGCAGACAGGAGATAGAAACTGCACAATCTAAATACTGTTGAAAATGCTACTGGGCATTCGTATCTATTGTTTAAGCCAAAGGACCTTTTAAGAACACAATCCCTAGCTTTACTCTGTGAAAATTATTCGTGTTTGAAAACATAAAGGTGTGTCTGTTTTGCGTCAGTTTTCAAAGGGTCCCGCTCCGGCCGCGCCACCGTGGGCAGCTGTGAGAAAGGGCAGAGCTGGGCGAGCCTGGGAGCGACGCGGCACCCGAGGCCGGACCCGGCGCCGTGTTTCTCTGCGAGGCTCCGCGCTGTGTCGAGCGGCGCCCCTGGCATCGGCCCCTCGCGCCCCTGCTTTAGGTCACGGGGCCGCTTTCACAACAAGACTTGCAGCATTTCCGAAAATATTCACTCTATGCYTTAGGATCACCATAGTCTGTACGCACAAGAATTAAAAACTTGCATCGATTGCCCTTTGTACTGAAATGCACAAGAAGTATCTAGTCAGCTGGCCTGCCTGTATTTCATTTGGCCATTATCCTGGCACTTTCACTGTACAGGAAAAACCTCAAAGTTTTATCCCGTGCCAAAAACTAGTACACACATTTGAGAAATAAGTCCATGGTTTATCGTGTGTTTGGTGTGCAACTGAAACAAAGAGGCAGGATGCAACCCGGGGCATCCCTTCCATGTCATTTCCAGATCAGATTCACACACAGTATCCTGAAACCCAGGATTTGAACCAGCTTTGACATCATCTTCAGCAGGGACCTCACTGACATCATCTCTTTCCTCCACGAAACCGGTGCAGGCGCAGACAAAGAAAAGGCAGTTGGAGTCCGATGCTATTGAAGGGAGGCAACAGTGCAGAGCTTTTACTGGCTCCCACTATTCTTAGGTTGCCTCTGAATGGGAGAAGTGGTCAGTGAATAAAAGTAGAGATGGAAACCAAGTGCAGAGAGGAAAGATTCCAACTGCAGATAAATACAGAGAGTGCAATAGGGAGAGACAGTGGCAAGTGCCTCCCTGTCACCAAGCACTCGTAGTCAGGACTGTGGCATCAAAGTGCACCGGCCTTGAATGCGCGAGGACCGGGAGCCACAGACTGAAAACCAGATTTTCTTAAAATACCAGGAGACTTAAGGAAAACTCTGTCTGCTTTCCTTGCTTTTTTTTTTTTTTTTTTTTAATTCAAGCTAGTAAAAAAAGCTTCATCAAAGTGTTCCTCAAGTCTACTCAATAATCCTGGAAGTCTTTCCATAGCTATTAAAGGAGCATAGCAGTGAATATGTGAAAAATTTTCCCCATAGCAGAACTAGCTGATGAAACCCACTGCAAAAACAGGTTGGGGCATTCTTACTACTCCAAGAAACAAGACAGACAACAGGAAAAAAAAACTGTTTAAAAAAGTGGTGCTAGGTACCCAGATCTAGTACTTTACAGGCTCTATCTGATCTTGTTATTGGTCATCAAAATGATTCCTGCTTGGGTGTAAGGGGCAAAATGRGTGATAACTTTTTTAAGGAAATAAGTGCTCTGTTGTGTGCCCAAATGGGGAAGCAGCAGCTTCACTCAAGGTAGCTTTCAGTATCTCAGTAATCAAAGATTCTTCTGAATCAGAAATCCAGMCAGATCAGTCAGGCAAATTAACAACTGTTTTCAACAAAGTTTAAAAAAAATATATACAAACTAAAAAAAAAAACTTCTCAAATTAGTGGTGATTAAGTGGTGACCATCATAGCAAGGGAGACACTGACACTGAAGGAGCTTTTGCTACTTTCAGTTTTGTTAAATGAAGAAAAAAAAAACCCACAGAAGTCAGTAAAGCAGCTAAAATAAGTATCTGTAATTACCAAGATCAAAATCCAGTGGCTTTTTATTAAACATGAACTTTTGTTCTGCCTTCTGTAATACGTAAATAGTGCTGACAATTGGTTTGTGAGGCACTTGCTACAACAAAATGTAATTGTATCATGAGAGAAAGGTGACAATCAGGAGATCATGAAAAAATTACATATTCTCACTGGTGGTTAATTAGCCATGCAAAACCCCCTCAAACAGATATTCTCTTCTATTAGGAATGATTACTATGCAGGCCTACAGATGTCAATACCACAGTCATTCAAATACTTCTTTCCCTACTAATTGAAGGTTGTAAAGCTCTGGTGCCAAGGTTTTGCTTCCAAAGAGCTAATTTATGACTAGAAGGATATTTTATGTCTTCAGTTGCAGCAGCTACAAAACTCAGCAAATCAGAACCATCTGTGCACTGATACTTGAATCACCATTCATCTAGCAGCCTATCAGTCACATTAGTTTGCATCCTGCATTCTTGGCTCACGTACACTTCTGATGGTCCAAAGTTCATAAGAAATATTAAAAATGAGTGGTACCCTGACCCTGCCTTATTGCACACGCAGCAGCGCAAGAAACAGGGCTTTTGCGTATGCGTAGTCTCAAGGCAGAGGTATTACGGGACTGACATTTCACAGCAGGTCCAGCAAGGCTGCTAATTACATCAATCTCCACTTATTAAAACGAGGTTTTATTAACTGTATGGTTTCAGACTTAAAAATACAAAAGGAAAACAGAACCTGATAGCTGTCAGCTCTGAAACTGTGCAAGTACATCATAGAGTACCGCATACCAATGAAACAGTTAAATGCTGGAGTAATACATCCTCCAGATGAGTGGCCGTAAGAATATAAAGACAAATAACAAACAGTCCGAAGGCAAGAATATGAACTAAATGTTTCCGCTAATAATGGTCACTTTGCTTCTAGACTGGYCAAAGAGAAAAACCTGGCATTCAGGCTCTCGTCTTGAAGACGTTAGGGAACWAAGTCCTTGTTTCCCCATTATCCTGAGAGGCCGGTTCGCCACAGACCTGCTGCTTTGAAGGGAGAGGCTGCAGGGCAGGAGGACTCACGACAGCTCCTCCTCCGTACGGTTGACGTCCCACTCCTCAGCAGAGCCAGGGAAACAGGATTAACAAACACGGGGTACTTGAGGCACACGAACTGCTGCGTCACTCTCATTTGGCACTGAAGCTGTTCCTCCCCTCACAACAGGAGAGAGAACCACCCAGCAGGAGATTCCAGACAAGAATCCCAAACCGCCTCACTTACTTGTGGCATTTTGGAAGCACGATGATACGGGGCGCATCCTGCGGTGGAAAATTCCAGAGGGCCGTCGTAGCAAGTTCCACTTGACTCTAGGCCATCCAGCAGGATTTGCTTTAGCACTTCATACTTTGGCTTTTCATCATAGGCTAAACCAGAAACACATGCCAAAAACTCGGCTATTTCACCTGTGGAGCATATTTTAARTGTAAATGTCACTTTTTCTGGACATAAAACTTTAAAAAGGTTTTAATTCCAAAACGGATGCCAATGCTACACTGCCAAACGAGATGACAAAAATCTCAGCTGAAGACAACAGTCAAAATGCAGAACTGACAGTATCCTGTCTTTCAGCGATGGGAAAAGCAAAACACAAGCTTGGATAAACCAGCTAACCTTTAAGTGCTATGTCCTGTTATAGACATGCATTAATTTGTATGCTACTGAAGGCTAGCCCACAAGCATGACAGCTAAATCAAAATAATTTCTTGACACACAGTTCATTCTAAAACAGGAGCAGTTTATATTTGGTAGATTATAACATTCTTCTGAACACCGATCACTCTCAATAACAGTATTTTAATCAGCCTAGCAATTGTACATTCAATGATTTGAGAAAAGCAAACTTTTTTTTTCTCCATCTTTATACCTAAGGTTTGGGCAAAAACTGATTTTGAGCATTAAGTTCTAATAGAGCAGCATTATTTTTGCTATCACTACTGTATACTTCCAGAGAGAGGAAAGCTGCTGGAGTGCACAAGCAATGCTGTTAGGAAAAGCATATAGAGAAAAAACATCTGTTGGAGTCCCACAAGTGAAGTTTTATTAAATATACATGTCTATTGTAAATGCATCTTATGTAATACACCAGCATTCCAACAGTTCAAACACGCACACTTCATGGAAATAAGTGAAYAGAGCAAAACTAGGTAGCGCCTTTGAGGGAGTATGAAGCTTGGTGCTTTCCGTAAACCAAAATGTTTTTTCCTTTGGTTTCTTGTGTACTCTTTGTGGGTAGGAAGCACAGGATAAGACAAACTATCCATTCATTTGTTTTTCTAACTGCTAATACACTAAGAATAAACCTCCATAAACAGTTCCTTACTACTTGCAGAGACCTACGTTTCTGGGACAGTCAGTCACTCTTTCCTAAACTTGTATCAGTAAGTGTCAGTATTAGACTCCATTCTCTGCTGCAGGGACAGTGTTCGCATTTAATAAAAGAAACTACCAGAGTCCAAGAATTAAGTTATTAACATCTATGTTTAGAAAAAAAATAAATAGCTGGAGGAGGGGCCCTTTCTGCTGGCAATCTGCTTTTTTTCTGGCATTGTGGGGGTAGCATTAACAAGGAGGGCAGCATTGGAGCCACCAGTGCTCTGGTTGAACCCCATGGCTCCAGCTGCCCTCTGGGCACAGGGCAACAACCAACAGCCAGGAAAGCCCGGGGGGAATTTGACTGTGCTCAGATATGTGACCRTGTGGCACTCACTGCTGATGAGACAGATCGAGACTTCTACCTGCCATAAAGCAGGTAAATAGCAGGTACCTGCCTCTAGAATTCATGCAACAGTGACCAGGAATTCACCAGTAAAAATCCCTGCAAGTTAGAATTGCTRAAAGTGTGGTAAGCTTGATGAGAAGGGTCTGATCCCTGTCCACTAAAGTCAACAGAATTATGAGTTCAAGTAAATTGCAATCTTAATTGACRAGTCTGATGTATATAATCTCACAAGTATTACATAAGCACCACGTTATCAGCTCAATATAGCTCCAGTGCAGATACTGGAGGCTGAATTCTCCTGCTGAATGCACCCAGAGCAAGAACCAGTCTGCTGTACTGCCAGATCTTACCCAACAGGAGAAAAGAAAGTCATCCCAAATGCTCATGAGGTTGGTGCATGTTGTACTATGCRTTACCTTAACACCACACTCGATACAGCACATCTCCTTTGGCACTGCATATGGAGATTTCTTTACCAATTCCCTTCTCTTAAGGTTTAAAGCCCACTGTCACCAGCAAGCTCCAGTACCTCGCCCAGCCTGTAGGAAGAAGCCCAAAGTGAAACCTCCTCCCTGGTCCCTTCCATCTATGGCAAAGAAGTYGCAGCCACCTCCTCCTCACGATTTAACTAACACAGCAGCTAAGCACAGGGAGACAGAAAAGAAAGGAAAGTTTAGGGCAGGAGAGAGGATGTGGACAGGACTTCAGAAAGGAACAGGACAGGAAGAGGCTGAGAGCCAGGGTAGCCCCTCCAGGCTTGCCCTAACGGAGGCACCTGGTAGGAAAGTCCACATGCAGCTGGCTCAGATACGAGAGAGGAGAATCCAGAAGGGGATGCCAGACAAAAACCCAAGGCAGAAGCTAGTAAAAAGGTCAGGAATAAGAAAACACATCAGTGACAGTGTCAAACAGGCATTAGAGAAGAACAAGAGGAAGGGCCAGAAAGGCTCAGCTAGGATGGATGGGAGAGCTGGACAGGGAATTCTCAGCAGCCCCAAAGACTCCTCTTGGCCTGCACTCACCTGCCCACCTGGACCCCTCYGCTCCTGCTTGTCTCAAGGCTGTTTATTCTGCAAGGCTTGGTGTGCAGGGGGATTTCCAGGGGTCCCAGAAGAACAGTGTCTGCTTGCACACTATAGCTTGCCCTAAGATCAGAGCCCAGTAATACTACTTGGACTGAGGCCTTTTCCTTTAGGGTGCAAGACTGGCTGAKGAAGTTCATTTGTTCATTTTGTAATAATTCTGCTGTTCTTCTGCTCCCCCCAAACAGAGAAAGGCATTTAAGTGCTTTCCACAGCAGACTGAAGCACTGTGTGGTAGGCACTGTAAGCAACTTACTGCATTTACTTCCAGAAGATTCCCATTCCATCACTGAATGCGGGAGCTCATCCAAAAGTCTGAAACAACAYGAGAAGGCAACAGTTTAATGTGGTTGTGCAGCAGGTGATCCTTCAATTTGGCGTCTGGGGGGACCGCAAATCTCAATTCCAAAGGGAATGGACCAGAACGGCCCCCTAGGCAGCGTTTGCACTTTGTGACAAGTGGAAGCCGGGACAGGACTACTTAACATGCYGTTACTTGGAAGTTGCTACATCTTTTTACTATAGGAATTTACTGTAGCAAAATTCCCTTTACTAAAGGAATTTCATTTCCCCATATAATAAACAGAGGATTAAATCTCAAATATTGCAATAATGACATGGTTTATGAAAAAGGTAATTGAGTGCTTCTTGTGTTCTTCCCAAGACTCCTGACCATTCCCCTAAGCACAACATCAGGCTAGATGGACCTTTAGTCTGACCAGGAGCTGCTTTTCAGCATTAGAAATAAAATCTAAGCTAAATTAAAGGAAAATATGTATGGTTAAATATATTTCATTTCCCCCAAATTGAAAATCCTAACTCAAATGAAGCATCTCCTCCAATTATGGCATGTCACAAGAACTTCTGAAAACAAGTTTACCAGCAGGAATCCTTAAGCCCTGCATTTCCAGTGCCCRGTGGCCTCAACACTCCATTATTTGGAGTTTCACCTAGAAAGAATCACTTAAGAAGTTGCGGGGCAAGAGGAGGCAACTGGTAACAACAGAATGTGGGGTCCTGTTCCGCCTCCTGCTTTTCAACTGCATCCCCCTTCCCAGCTGCCCCAGTGTCTTCCCCATCACAGTCATAGGGTCTCCACAGCAAAGGGCTGCTTGGAGCAGACCTGCCTGTGCTGGTAACTCGCTAACTCAGAGGCCCGCGGATACGTACATGGATCCTGGTGCCTGCTTCTGGCTTCCTAAAAGAGGAYAGGCCCAGAAAAACCAAGGTAAGGAAGAGGGGAGGGCCTTAGCAGCTTGCCTAAAGCCAAGGAACATAATTTGTTACTCTAAAAGGGACTTTCTGCTAAAGGGAATCGCCGTCACTTTCTGTGCATCTCCCCCCTAACAGCTCCTTGGCCGCCTTCTGGAAATGTGCAAGCAAAGGGTTAACCCAAGGGAAGAATTAGTGGAGCAGCTTGATTGATTAAATTGATTTAACATTGAATTGCATAAGTGTTACCTTGCAGGGGGTTGTGTAATGATCAGAACTTCTAAAGGAGAAATATTAAACATAACATAGGATGTCAACATTTACAGATGCAATCGGCATTATCCGCAGTCTGCAGGCTAACCTCTCTCGCTGCTCAGAGCCGATGCCACACTGAATTTGCAGATTGATTTCCGTGGAGCAGCTCTCCCTATTGTGTACCTCTGTTGTGACTTGCCCTACTTAAAAGTTTGCCGCTTGCTCCAGTTGTGATGATACATTTAAGGATAACTGCTCTTCTGTAGATCCTTCTACAGGCGACGCTGTACTGCGTGCAATTAACTCTCTCAAGTCCCAACTGTGAAAGCAGTGAAAGAAAACACTCACACGCTCTGCGGCGTTAGTTAGCTCTAGCRAGTCATGCTGAGAAAAAGAAAAGATTTAAGCAAGTTCCTTAGTGTTTTGGTGCTTAAATGTTTATAATGGCAGTCAGCTTATATGGCATTAAAAACCTACACCTGAAAAATAGATATTGAATATAAAGGTGAATAAATTAAATGCACATGTGAAAGAAAACTTTCAAAGGCCTTTTGCCCTGTGGTTTCCACCAAGCACAAATGAAGCTGAATGGCCATCTCCAGGGTCCCCCTGCGTGTGCAGTATCAGCTGTACTCTTGTTCACACCATTTCTTTTAAAATACGGCGTGTTAAAAGATATGTAGGAAAGGAAATATCTGTGTATTACATCTTTATCGTCACATCTCCAGCACAGTAACATACATAAACATGTGCAAAATGGTACATATGCATGCAGAGTTTGCATTTTTAACAGCTTCTAATATCTCCCAATTAAGGAAAACTGTTTTAGCTTTCATGTGCGGTGATACCCTACAGGATGYGAGCTCTCTTTGAAATCCCCTTTCAGACCTCTTTGGTAAATGCCAGAACACGTTATGGGTGCGTGCGTGGTTTTATTTTTACTTTGTTTTTGCAGTCTGGACAGCTACAGGGTCCTTGAGGTTCTGCTCCCAGGGCAGTCTCCCACACGCCCACTGCAGCATGCAGTAGCCGAGGATTTCAAGGTCACCTCGTCTAGATGGGGCTAAAACAGAAGAGGGAGGGGAAAGGGAGAAAAAAAGATGAAGAATAAGAACCAATTCTTAGCAAACAGAAAAGGCTGGTTGAACTACTGTTGATGAAATATGAAAAAGCCAAATGGACCAAGTGTTTTGTTTGTTCAGCTGTATAAGACCTGAAACGCCCAGCCTTTTGGCCACAGTCCACAGACAGGCAGCGACTTGTTACCGCTGAAGTAAGGGTCAGTTTTCTCACCTCCTCCAGCTTCATCCTTCCTTAGCCGGGCCTGTCACATGGACTCGATCCCTATGGCCTCTGACATGATCCAGACAGCCCATAACTGAGCACCAACACTTTCTCAAAGAGCCAAGCAGTAAAACAAAGAAATAAATGTCTGCTGCTAAATTGCTAACACATGTTCCAGGAAGTCCATGGGGTCCACGTTGGTCATGCAGGGACCCTGCGCGTGCAGACTAAACACTGATGGCCTTTCCTGCTCTGCTCCGAGCAGCTGGGACGTGGAAGCTGTGACAAAACTGCCATCTAGTGTCCACGAGTGCAGCGAGGAGCTCGGCGGGCGGCTGCCGCGGTGCTGCCTCARTCCGGCACCGCTCGGCCGGGCCGCGCAAATTGCCGCTGCGACGTGCAAAAAGGGCAGGGATGGCACAAACAGCTTACACTCATCCCGGGCAGCCCACACACATAAATAACATACTAAATAAAACAGAAATAATACTATCAAAAATTAACTATCTTTTGTAGAGAAGAACGGATGACAAATTAATCTATAGATTGACTCCCACATGAAAGAAAAAATACTAATGGAATTATTTTTGCTTATTTCCACTCAGAATAAAACAAACTTAAAATAAAACACAAAGAATTGCTGTAGTATGCTCTTGTACAGGGTTGACTTCCATTCTGCAGTTTGTGAGACAATACAGACTACGCTAACACAGAAAACTCTTGGTCATAATTAAAATACAATAGACCAAATACAAATTAGACAAAATCCAAAATTCACTCTATACTTCYCCAAAATGAATTTGAACTCTCCTAGAATGAAAGAAGAGTTCAGATTCATTTGGTAGTTTTTTCTTTAGCACAGACTACCAGCAGAGCCTAGTGCTGTTAATCCAGCTGTAAACAGATATCATATTTTATGGATCTTCATTAAATAAATTCCAGAAAGTCCCTCAGCAAACTTATCGTTTAATTTCAGAAGTCACCCGCTAAAAGCCCTGTGCCAACATATCGTAACCACGTCTTGTTACCATCCACACATTACTGTAAAAGCAGAAGACAAGATTAGTTCTCAGACATTCTCTATCTTAACTGCTATTAGGCTATCGGATTATTAAAGGCCCTTCAATCTCAGCGAAGGCTCCGCCGTCCCCCGGGTGTCGTTTATTTTCTGCACTACATTCAACAATGTCCTAATGCAGGGCTTGGCTCTCGTATTAAAATACAAACACAATCTCGACCACTTGCTGCTCTGTAGCAATTTCTCCAGTCATAAATCTCCTGGTAACTGTGGAACAATTCCATTCATACACATGTGTTCACAACTCCTTTTTCCATTATGGCAATTCCAGATTATAGCCATGCAAGCAGTTGTTTTTGACTATGGATCCTCTGATTTTTCACAAAAATGCTTTTCTGGCACCTGTTTGTATCAGATGGGCTACATACAAAGTGGTCTTTGGAGATGATCGTCAGAATTACGCTGGAGCACTTTTTTTGCACCAAGGGAGTAATTGACGTGAGGCTGTAAGGAACGATTTCGGAAGCTAACCTGAGATAACTGCTTGACTGCCAAAAGAGTCCCCAGAGAGCCAAGTTTACTTAGTTGGGCCACGTCTAAACACCTTCTAATTCCCATTTAGCTCTTCTGTCCATTTCCTGACTTCTCCGGCMGCAGTAAGTGCAGCAGGACATCCCTAATACCTTCCCAAAGCCACAGTGGCCAGCACAGGGCCGCTGTAGGGAACTAAGCCATTCAGTACTAAAAATACAGGGAACGTTTTACAGAGAGAGGGGAAAATCCCCTATMGCTTTGTCTATCAGATCCCTGAAARGGTCTGCTACATAAAGACCTTTACCCACGTCTTTCATAGAGCCACATGCAAACAGCAGCACTTGATTATCTGACCACACCACCTTTCCCCCTGCTCCTCTTTTGACTCAGGATTACAGGTGCTCGTTCCTTAACTTTTTACATGAGACTCTGATCCCTGCAAATTAAGTAATATTTAATGAATTAATATGATCTATGAGTAATGAAATAGGATTTAATATGGGATGAAAATCTATTACTCGGATTTTATTTGTATTCTTCTTTGAAAACAGCAAGTCTGCTGCTCCTGTTTGTGGTGCGGGAGCCCTGGATCCCTGTGAGCAGGGAGAGCCCAGCCCGGCTTCGCTGTTCGCGTGGCAGCCGCCGCTCCGGAACCAAGCGGCTCCGCTCGCTGCCCTGGCGCCCCTACAGCAGCACATATTCAAAATCATATCTAAAACACATTCTTTTATTTCTCAGTAAACTAAAAGTTGCTCTGTTTTAAAACACAGATGTGTGACTTCTACTTTTCTATTCAAGAGCATTTTTTTTTGTATTTTGTAATTTCTTATGAAACACTATTTAATGGGATCACATTGGTAATATTTTGTTTTTACAGCATTTTTCCAGTTTAACTTTTTTAGGTGAAGATTTAAGGTCGGATTCTGCACTCACTCCTGCAAAGATAAATCAGAAACAACCCCAGTGAAGTTAATGAATTAACGACCATGCCAACGAAACCCAAGTCGGGCCACAGAAAGTTTTATATACACCACAAACATATATACTCCCCATGCAGACATAGGGTTGAACAATAACTCAGACACATGTAACTGAAGCAATTCACACTGAGAACAGAATATATTATGTCTCTCTSTACACCAGATTTGGCAGTTTGCTGAGTTCTAATATAAATTCAGATTACTACTTCAAAATGAAACATAAATGATCTTACATCAGCCACTCTAAGCGCTCAGTCCCACAATGTGCTACAAAACTCATCTTTAAGCCACATAAAAAAGCCCCTTCCTCCGTGGCGCTTCTTAAGTCAACTTTCTCAAGCCCCTTATAAAGATCCAGGAGGCTAACGAGAGACAGAGATGAAATGCATTTCTGTTATTTTTAATTAGTACTACTACACTACAATTTCACCATGGCTGTTTCTCTAGACTGGAAACTTTCCATAGAAAGGATCATTTTAGTTGCTTCTATTGTGTTCACATGCAGGGGAATCTCCGATTCTTATCGACATATGTTATATAAATTCATACTAATCCACAAATAAACATAAGTCATATACCACAACCATTAATTCAAAAGCCTCTAAAAAAAATGACCATTAACATGACCACGGAGAAGTGCAATTACGTCAAAAATGAATCATCACAGTGTTTTAATCTACAACGACTAAAAGCAACAAAAATTTTTAACTTGGGGTTGAGAAGATAAAACCAGACAAATAGGAGAACATGCCAAAAACCGGTGCCCATATCAGGGTAGGAGGGAGCAAACTGAAGCTTTTCTTTGTTCTGGATCAATCTGGGAAATTCACTGCAGCAGGACACGAAATAACTGAGTAGAGTGGATGCTGTCCCACGTACAGTCCTTGGCAAACACACACCAAAGGGCAGCCCACCTAGAACTCACCTAACCAACATAACAATAAGCAACAAGCTGCCTCTGGCTACTAAATATACATGAACAAACTCTGAACACACCTCTAGATGCAGAGCTATTTAGAGCTGAAGTGCTCTGAAAAGACACACGGGTTCAGAAGGAATCTTAGTAACACCAGCGTTAGGTGTTAATATCCCTGTGCATCCTTCTTCACAAACTGACCCTGCACATATTCTATCCAGGCCCTGCAAGAGCATGAAACAGTAAAACAGACGAGYCCTGAGCTGTGGTTTTTATGTGAAAGGCAACGTTTCTGTGAGAATGGCAGGGAAAAGGAGAGCAAAACCTGCAGAGCTTGCCYTGCAACGAGGCCGTGCAGACTCAGAGCGCAAGCACCCGGCGACTCGTTGCATCCAACGCAAGCACAACCTTCTTGCCTGAAAACAAGGAAAAAAAACCAAAAACCAAAGCACAGACTTTTGCTCAATGAAAGCAGCTTGAGAGAAAATGTACTCGCCAACATAACCATGTGCTGGAGGGAATTCGACACAGATAGTTCATACTCTTATGTTCATCAATGATAGCAAATTAAAACTGGTCTTAGGCACTCAATGCACAGRACTAGAGTATTTAAAAAAAACTCGATATGTTAAGCACAGTGTATCTCTAGAGAAATTAGGTATTGACTGCATGCCTCAGTGAGTAGAAAAATCTACAAAAATCCATAAAATACATTGATTCAAATATTACTTTTTAACACTATGTAACTTGTTTTTTAATGTATATTGGGTGCAGATATAATTCTCTTTAATTATCAAGCAACAAGCAAAAATGTAAGACTGTTTATACAGCACGGACTTCAAAATTGAATATGAGGTTTTACTCACCCAATCAAACGCTGTGTTAAAACCAACAGTGCAGTTGTGTGTCGTAGGGAATTTGCATTAAAATAAAAYGAGTTTTGATTAAAACACACCACCTTGTTCAGGGCCCCTTGCTGGCCACAGACAAGCCTGCAAAAATCCAGCACTGAACACAAGAAAGCTGATGGTGTGGGCAGAGCCAGTGGCAAAGCCTTGGCTTGGTCCGTGATTCGTTTCRAATGGTAACATTGGATATGGCTAAAGGATCTAACTGAGATGGTGCTCAACACTATTAACTATTAACTCAACCTGTAGGCTATTAACTCTACCACCAAGAGCTGCCACGTGGTGTCCACGTGAGGGTACGTCCTGGATCTTGATGGAGTGCGAAGCCTCTGCAACTGAGGAGAGCTCCACATGGAGCTCCACATGGAGCTTGAGCAGCAAGGAGCAACACAGCAGGGTCAATCTCTCAATTCAACTAGTGAATCACCAGTGTTGATTTAAAACAGCGTCTGAYTGGCTTTATGGAAGGAGGCTATCAGCTTCCAGAATTGCCAAGCATTTTGTAAAGCAACAAATTCATAATTTCATTTTAAATTTCTGCACGCATCTCAGATCRCTATGTATTCAGGTAACTGCTTTATAAATAGAAAGCAAAGCAAGTCACAGGGTTCTCATTTTCTAGCTCAGCACAACAAATGCTACTATTCAGGGATCATGAGAGTGGAGAAATATTTATGCTGCTATATACACTGAAGAAAAGCCCTCTGAAAAGGATCTCATCTTTGTAAAACAACTTTTAAAAATTAAACTATATTTAAAGAGCATTAGAAATATTCCACCCTGGAAATCTGCTAACGTCATTTTTTCACTAGTGCATGGCAATATATTCTTTAAATACTTTTCAGAGGAGCACCTCGTTTCATTTTGCAGATAACAGACTGTGCTGAGAGCATCAATCACGACCCGAGAGTTCAAGAGACTGTTGAGCAAAGATCTCTGCCACATGGGCTGGGAAACTTGCAGTGCCCCAATGTCCCTAAACATCTCCATAACTCTACACCTCACAGCAAAAGACGAAGGAAAAGAGTCACTGTTTTGGCATCCAGGCCTGCAGCATCTCACACCGTTAGGGCAGATGTGCTTTTTCCCTGGGATGCTGAGAGAGCTGCCACAAATGGGAAACTCTGTTAATTTGACCTTAACGGACTGAGGCTGCTGCGAAGCTGGAGCCAGAGCTGAGGCTCCCCATGAATATTCTAGATTCTCCCAACATGAAGATTTCCCATCATGTTCTGTAGGCTTTTCTGCTGGCGGCAGCAGAAAATCTGGAGACCTTCTCTCTGCAACCACCAACAAGCATGAGTTTCTTGGGTCTGAGGATGGACTAACCTCACTCAAGACACCTGACTATTTTCTTTTCTAGATTCCCCATTTTTCACCAATTCAACTCATCTGCAGCTGGCTTGAGGGATTTATCCATCCCACAGGCTGCTTCACTCCCACCTGCATGCTACTAGTTTGCCTGTTGCATGTCCACTAGGCAACTTAATTGCTGTGTCTATTCAACAGTTGAATCCCGATACACCAACCTCAAGTAAGTCTTCCAAAAGCCTCCACATAAAATACTGGTACTTAGCCGCAGGTCTCACACTGCCAAGCAAAAGAGTCGGAGTCAGATCTCCAGAAAACACACCACATGCTTGGGTGAGCTGGAAGAGGCTGATACAGGTGCCCTCTGCACCACAGAGTACTTTTCAGCAGGTGAAATCATGCAATCATTGTCTTTGTGGCAAACACTTCACAGTCTCATTTCATTTTTCCTAATGACCAGAGTTAAACGACTGCAGGTTTTAACAGTGCCGGCAAATTATCAAGACCCTCTACATTACATGGTCAATGGTCCTTTTAATAGAAAAAGCAATAATATACAGTTGTTTGTGCCAACTAAAACTCGTTAGAAAGTATTAGTTTAAGGTAACAGTTCAGCAGCTATTAACAAGCACAAATTTCTGTAGCTATCATTAATGACACTGTGATCTTAGCCRAACTGGCAACATCAAACCATTCCTTTTGCTTTAGAAGATCTGGGGAGGGGAGGGAAGAATAAAGAAAAGTTAACAAAAACACTGTTTTGTATTAAGAGTCAAAGTTTTTCAATAATCACCATTTTTTCACTAGCATAACATTAGAATTGACTTTTTGTCTTGCTGACATAGCAACTAAGAAAGTTGTGTTGCATTGACCATATTGATTGTGAACAATGCAGCCATCAGTGGGACTCTGCACCATATATTTTCAATATTGACCCCCCATTCCCTTTTCCATGGCTCTGTGGGTCTGCTATTGGATTTGGACTGCAGTGTAATAAACAGCTAAGGTTTAATTAATGGTAAATGAATACAAGACATAGGTTATGACTTTAACTAATTAGGGAATTGTTGAATTAAGTCTGCCTTGGAATGCAAGGCAGTATAATCAATATCCAATAAAAGGACTATGTATGTAATTTACCTGCAAATGTGTTTCCAATACCATCAAAGTGAGTTTAAATAAGTAAGATATATGAAAGGCTACTGGAAAAAGATTTCAAAAGTTAACGCTTTACAGCTCCAAGAGAGGCTTTTTCCTTGCAAAAGAAATGTCATCTTGAAATATCCCCCGATAATGTGGATGGTGACACTCAGGTCCAGATCTCCACAAAGGCCTCTTCACAGGCTCAAAACATTTTTTGACTCTGTCTCTGCTGAGTACCACAAACACAGGCCAGCAGTGCCTCGCAAATCCTGGAGTTTAACAGTGAGCTTCTCCCTGGGCACCTCAGTCTATCTCCCAGCCCCGTCACCCCTCAGCCTTTCAGGTTTAACCAGGCTCCCACCAAGGGAACGTGCCCAGGCACAAGCAGAGGTCACCCCGCAAGGGGCGGATCAACCCTGAGCACACCAGCTCACCCAGCCTGATGGCTCRTTCTGTTATCATTCCTCTGAAATCAAATAAAATAGAAAAGAAACCTACCTACTCCCTTGTGGGCATCTAAGCTGGTAAACTCTATTGTCCCATTATGGCCCTTCCTAGGATTTTCTTGATACTGTTTGTGGTTCCCATTGGGACAATATCTGTAGGAAAGTCCATAATCTGCAAGATAAACCTGGAAGACATGAACAGACAAATGAATAATGCTTTTGTCCTTTGAAAGTATAACCTTTACAATTAAGCCTTAAGAAACTGATAGGTTAAGGACAGCCTTAGATCTAAATTTTATTAAACCAAATGGTGCCKCTGGATAAAATATGTACAACTGGGGGCTATAACAGCTGCCCTCCCCATTTAAATCCTTCTACTACCACAGTCTTATCTTATTTCAGAGTCAGGTAGAATTTCAGTCTTCTTGTCTTTTCCTTAGCACTCTCCTCTCCAGGTGGGCATCCAGACATCGTAAATGGCAATATGCCTTTTATGTATCTGCATGTTGCTTATGGGATCCCTTCYTCTCCTTACTAAATACACTTCTCACCCCTACTCTCATCTTCCACCAACTACAACTGTCCCATTTCATAGTAACAGCACCAGGTAAAGGCCATGGAGGAAAGTCAAACAGCAGTAGCCTTCCCTAGAGCCCGGGGCTCCAGGGCACAMAGGGAATGTGACCCCAGGGCAGCAGGATGCTGCATCTGCAGCAACTCTGCCATGCATGAGCTTTACGGTAAGGGCACAAGTGGCCTGTATGGATTTCACACTACCCTGTTCTACCTTCCATCTGGGGTGGACCCATTACCTGCACCTGGCTACCTGCAGCACAGCCAGCAAGCAGCAACTTGTTGAAAGCAGCTGGAATTTAATCACAGCCTGTCCACTCCCTAATATCCCACAGGTATATGTGGGATATCCTCTCACTCCCATTTTTACACTYCCACCTGGCCTTTGCCCCTTTGCATTGACCAGTTCTCACAGTAGGTAATTGCTTTTTAGAAATATTTCAAGCACAGTGTTTCTCGCTTAGAAAAAAAAAAACAAAACAAAAATCTATGGCTGCTATAGTATTGTCAGTGGGACTGATCTCCGGGAAAAAAATTGAGCATCAGAAGTCATATGCAAATTATATCTAGTAAATCACTTCACATTATAAAGAAAACTAAGTTTAGAATAARGAGTTGGTCTCCTCTTTAGCTAAGAAATAGCTTATCCTATAAAAGCCTTTTAGAAACTCTTCCAGCACTCACTTTTAATTTAATGGTATCACTCTTGGTGGAGGGAAAACAAACACCCAAACAAAAACTCTCAAGAAAACTTAGCGCATTATTTCGCGGCACATTTTGTTGAATTACTGCCTCCTGTTTGTGCTCCAGGCAGCTCTGAATCCYGGGATGGCTGCTCTCTTGGTTTTACTGTTTCTGCTGCAGGATCTGTGCTTATTTGGAGCGTGTAAGCTGGSATGCAACCCTCACTTCCTGCAGGGTGATGGCTTTTAAGATTAGTGATGATGCTTTTCACCTGGCAGACTTTACAAACTGCGAGGCAAGATTAAAGACTGCAGGCACCTTTAGAAAATCTGGGACACGGCCTAAACGTGACTGGGTCGGGCAACTTGATTTTCTCCTGCCTTCATTCTCTGGTGTATTCCTGAGGCTCTGGTTCCTGCCCTGAGCCCCAGCCAGGGCTAGGGCCAATCTGGGCTACCCTAGCACCAAGTTTTGTGACTTTTCCACATCTTGTGCGGGCTGGCAAGCAGCCAGGAGGTCAGAGACACTCTGCCCTGCCAAAGCAGTAGGGTTTGGATTTTGCTTGACTGTAGATGTTTGGCAGGTGCAATTGAATGGAATGGACTTCCCTCTTTAACAACTTGAGCTCTCACACTAAAACGAGAACTTAACCAATAAAAGAAAACAAGAAAGAAACCTCTCTGCCAGCTCTCTGGTGGCATCTGGGCTGGAAGCACTAGCAGATGCAATAAGCTGTTCTCATATGGCAGGTCAATCTGTGTGATCTTATCTTATTGGGGTGTCTAGGGAATAATCTCAAGTATATGTCAGCCAAATTTGAACCGTGCAAATAAGTCACTGTGCCTTAGCTATAGGATGGTGATGTGTACTCCTAAATCATTGTTAGCATTAGATTTACTTAACATACCCGCAGCAGTAGTTTAGCAAAGCTGTTCTAAATTTATACAGGGGAAAAAAACTGAAAGTGAGAAGTAGCTTTAGGTTATTCTGTCATCAGTGGAAGAGCCAAGACTTGCAAACCAAGAAGCAGTGACAGCCGAAGCCACCTGAATGCACTAAACAAGCACACACAGGACTGCAGCACAGGTTGTTCTAGATGCTGGTCAGTAGAGCTGGAACAACACAACCACCTTCCACCTGTGGAAAACCAGGAAGGCACTTCCACATCCCTGCCACCAGCATGRTCAGAAGGGCTCCACTAATCTCAATTTCCTTTTCCTGATTCCATCTGTTCTAATAATATAATTTTCAYCATAAAATGCAGAGTTCTTCATAGCTTGCTGACACTTTTTGTTAAAGTGACACAGTGCATCCTTCCAAACTCAYACAGGACATGGCAGGAAGGGTATGTAGGTAATTTTATTTGCCTGTTTTCAAAGAGGATGGGGGAAGAAAGGGGAAGAGTGATGATTAAAGAACAGAAATACTGAAGTTACAGTGTTAGCATGTGCTTCCCTATCATAGAAGGGTACTTTGCATCTGCACACTTTGCATACTGAGAACAAAGCAGAAACAAGACAAGAGAGACACAATAAGATTTGTAAGATGTTTCAAATAGAAAGCATGATACCAAGGATCAGACACTACGACACTAGCCTAGAACAAGTTCTAGCCACGTCACATSACACTCCTGCCTCCACTCCCAGCTTCTTTATTTTATCCTAGATGATTTTATTCAGGTTTTGTTTTTTAAAAAGCATGTTCAGAAGTGTATCTCAGTTTGCCCTAGACTCAGCACTGCTTAGCATGGTCTGTTATTAATAATTTTATTATAGATTATGAGCCAGATTTCCTAAACCTTGGCACTTAATTTCATGCTAACATGGATGTGTCCATCTTAAACAGCCATATAGGCACAAATATCCATCTACCCGCACAAGCAAGTTCTTGCAGTATTTAGCTCTCCTCTGGTCTTTTTTGGTGCATGATTCCCTCATCACAGAGCTTTACATCTGAAGTGCTAAATATCTGCCAAACATACAAAACACCTATAATATCTAACTGTACTGATCTGGAAAGTCATGGGTCTGCTACTTGGGATTCTCATGGCATTTTCTTTGTCTTGAAGTACACATAACAGGTGATTTGTCACTGAAAGAATAATGACATCCAGATTTTCTTTGGACATTTTCTTTCCATTTGATTCCATTATTAAGCTTGCACAACGCTCTGTAAATAATTAACTAGATCTGTACTTATAAGAGGGAGATGGGTTGCTAAAGGCCATAGAGTCATCAATGTAATTCTACACTATTCTACAAAAAAAGGACAGCCTAAAGGAAGTCTTAGGAGTGAGGTACATCTTGGTGTAAGAAGTTTGAAGGACAGTGATTGAGAGAGAAACTGTATTTTTCACAAAATCTAGGAGAGCAAGCAAGACAAGAAAGGAAGATGAGTGGGTTAACCAAAGGAGAGAAGGGAAGGAATCACCCATGCCTGTGCAGGGATTCTAGGCCACCAAACCACCTTTCCAGATTTTTTTTTTTTTTTTTTAAATTCATTCAAACTCTTGTATTCTGGCCTAGACGGCTGTTCCATTTGAAGCAGAAGGTATGGAGTGAAATACAGGGTAGTTGTTTTCTTACACACTCTGTCTCTCACACACACACGCTCTGGAGCAAGACTATAGGAAAAAAATAGAGGGAAAGATGAAACAGTCTTGAAGGGCAAAAATGTTAAGAAGGAAGAAAAAAGAATGAAAAATCAAAAGATTTGAGAAAGAAATGGAGAAAACCTCGTTTGGAATATTGAGAGAGAAACGTTTTCAGCAACAAACTTTTGGAGAGAAAAGCATCAAGAAAACACAAGCTTTAAGTATCACAAAATATATGTAGCAAGACGTTCTGGCAAAGCAATAGCATTCTTAACAAAAACTTTGTGAGACATTGTGTTATAAAAAGTTAAAATTCTCTGTTAAATTCAGCCAAATATTGCCAAAATATAACAGGTAAAGATTGACAGTGCAATGTGGCTGCCAACCTAGTAGTGCAGCCCAAGCCTAAGGCCATTTCCAGGATGCCCAGTTTGGACCCTTTGCTCTCTTTCCTACCCTGTGCTCTTCTTGGTCTTTTGAAGCCAACAGGAAGCAAGGGAACAAACCCAATGCTCTGGAATCAACTGCATTCCAAAGTACTTAGGATCATAGCCACAAAAGCAAATCAAGCCAGCCTAAGAAGTTATATCCAAATGCAGAATTAAGAGTGATGAAAGAAAATTAAGGGCACCTGATTTGGAAGCTGGACCCTTGATTGGGGGCACAGTCAGCATTCATGTGTTAACTCAACTCTTCCTGCCTAATTTTTCTATGTACTATATTCTTCCTAAAACACATGAATGGGAACAGAAAGGATTTTCATTCTTTCTCAACCCATCTCCTCCTGAGCAAATTTGTTGCATGGGATCAAAAAACCACTACTGTTTATCTCTCCATAAAAGAAAGGTTGTTTAAATGTTAACAGATAAAAAGTGGAACTTATCTAACAATGAATAACGGTTTAAAGCTGGAATTCCTTTCAGTGTATTTTTGCCTGAGCACTGACTGTGTGGGCTGTATCACCTTTTTTCACTGTTCCACAGCAGCCTGGTCTTAAAAAAAAATCAGTATTTTAAAGTATTTTTGCATTTTTTAATGTTAAGACTATCTATGATTTATATCTGCAAGTTATTTTGTAGCTATTGTTTCTAAGAAACACATAAAACCAAAATCAGAACTCATAGGTACAAATCTATTATTTAAAATGTACAGCTTAAAAAAATGAGAGACCTTTTGATAGACTCTTAAAGAGTCCACAGCACTAAAGCATGTTGCTGATACACTCCATGAAAAACATGCTAAAAGAAAACTGCTTCAAAGAGACATTCCTCCAAACCTCATTTCATGTACTAAAAATGTTGATTTTAAGCTTTTGTCTGATGACAAGCTGTCTCAGTACTAAGTATCATTCAATGATACTTAGTATGAATTCAATGGGGTTAATGGATTAAAATTTCTCTTTTAGGGGCTCTATCAACAATGCTCATTCCGATTAATCATATAAAAAGTTATTGCTATGTACTGAGTTACCTTTAACTCCCCTCAGTACTCAGGGCTTCACTTGTTCCATAACTTTGCTAGGTTAATTTATAGAAGAGACAGCATAAGAGCAGAAAGCGTTGCACAGAAAGGTGACCCCTTCTCGAATCTACTGCCAGGAAGCTACTGGCAAATTTGCACATAAAATTCATAAAATTCAGTCATAAACAGCCACTAAACAACAATAGCAAAGTTACGTGTTCTGAAAGGATATATACATTCACATTCAACTTCTGTCTCTGGAATAAGGAAATATAAATATACTAACATACTACTATCTCTACTACTTTAAAATGCACTTATGAATAACCATGACTTGCACACAGCGAGCGTAGTCTGGGGCTCTGTCATCATGGCATGACTAGGCAGCAGGGCTGGGGTCCCCGGCACCCTTTCCAAGGCCTGTGATCAGGGRATTAAACTCCCTTCAAACTCACTTTGCTATCAAATACACCCAAGTAGCTCTCTCTCTTTAGGCACACAAAAATGGAAGTTTAATTCCTATCTTGCCCTTGCAAGCAGTTACGAGCAATCCTTTCCTCTTAACTCTTCTAAATTAGTCTGGGCACTTTTTAAAAAAAATCCACACAAAACCTTTTAGCTCACTCTTCGTACACCATTAGCTAGGATGTATTTGAGCTGGATTCTCTATTCAAGTTTTTTTGATATTTAAGTTACACTGCTACTCAAAACATCTATCCCAAGGCTCATGACTACCTTATTTTTGATCTGTCAGAGAATTTAACACCCTTAAAAACAAAATAAAGCAAATTACAAAGCCACCCCGCAATCTGGCTAAGTCTGGCAAAAGCAACTGATCAGTCAGTTACATGTCTTAAAACTTTATGATAATTGTAAATAGACATATCCAAAATGATTTGAACATGAAAATAGCAGCATATCCTGTTATCATAAAAACACACAAAAAAACAAACAAGACAAAACAAGTAATTTGAGTTATGTTAGTAAGARCAGATCATTTTGCCTCTAAATATCCTCTTCTCAGATTCAGCAGGCCAGTAAACACCATAAAGTGAGATTATGTACTAATCTATGCAAGTGTCTATAAACATGATTGTTTAAAATAGTCATGAGAATCTTTAATCTATGCATTTTAAAAGCTAAAAAGTTAAATCTGAATCAAGCATTTAAAGCAGACAAAGTTTTGAAGAAATGAGATACAGTTCAGTGTTTCAACAGCAGTGAGTTGTTTTGCAGCATGTATTACTTTGTCACTGCTGCAGGAAAACAAAAATTAAAGGATGAGGTGAAATATTGCTTATAGCAAATCATATTTAAGTTACATTGAAGGGGTGCACCCCTTTTCCAAAATTAAGATAATTTTCCATGAGAGAAATGTACTTCAAATTTTCATTAACTAAAGGAGGAAAAGGATGTGATAAAACCAGGGAAACAGGCCAGAATCAACAGATCTGTTTCATGGCATGTCACCAAAACAGCTTTCACAGCTCCTTTTGGCTTTAGCAGTGCTAAACAGAAAGTAAAACTCTTGATGATACTCACCTGCTCTACCCAGTACAATGAGTAAGAGCTTGTTTCATGGAAGCACAGCTCGTAAGAGCACTAGAAAGCTAGATCTTCCCCAGAAAGGTAATACCAAGGGCCAGATTCTTAAACTATACTTCTATACTTAAAGTGGCATAATCCAGATGAGTTTTTTAGGTCCCTTAATTTATCCTGTGGGTTATTTTACCYTTCCCTCACTATAACCCAAATCAAAGGAGCAATAAGAGAACAAGGCAAGAGTTTTGCCCAGCTTCTCTCTCCAGCCTCAAGCTCCACAAATCCAGTACAAAAATTCCTAAGAAGAGATAACGTTTTTGCAGCAAGCTCTCTTCTTTTAATACATGAAATGCAGAATATACATAGGTAAAAGCAGTTCTAAATGCATTAGAGTAGCACCATAGATAAGTGTAAAAATGCTCACCTCATGTGGGTTGGTGTAGCCCAAAAGCAGATTTGCTGCTTTAATGTCACAATGAACATACTCATTTTCATGTATGTATTCCAAAGCATCCAACTAGAAAAGATTTAACAGAAAGGAAAGCATCAYCACCTCTACTCCTCTCTCACCCTAGCACCAAACATTTCTCACTCATACAGTGAGTTCAGGGGCCACGCAGGCTGTGAGATGACAAGGTTTTTCTGTGCTGGTAGAGCACAAGGTCTGAGAGGTCCTTCTTAGTTGCCCTGCTGGAAGGTTCACTCTGTGTTGCGTTGCTCACATCACATGCATCAAGTGCCCAGCTGCAGAGCTCTGTCCACTCCCCGCTCCGTTCTGTTCCTCCCCACACACAGCTAATGGCAAAGTAATAATAATAATATTATTATTATTAATAATAATTTTGGTGTGAGTAGCCCTGTGTAAATACTTGAGAATACCAGCTTCAAAGCTCACAGAGAGTAAACTAAGCATTTTGTAAACACTGAAGGAACTGTTGAGTAGCAGCAGGCTCTTTGGAGGAAGAGCATATACACTCAACCCTAAAGATTTAATACAGTTAATCCTGCCAATTACTGCATGGCCTGCAATTCAGTTGCCTATTTCTTCTCATCATCATCCTCCTGCAACTCCTCACTAAGGGGTGATTGCTTTCTAATTGTTATGAAATATATGCTCGTACTTGGCAATTTGAATAAAGGACGTTCTAATTTTGGCTGCTGAAGAGCCCGAAGACAGCCAAGAAATGTTACAAATTTGTTTAATTACATGGCTACAAAAGCCCTTTGCAGTTTTATTTTTTTATTGAGGTTGGAAGGGATCTCTAGAAGACTCAAGTCGAACCCCTGCTTGACACATGGCTCACTTCAAAAGTTAGATAAGGCTGCACATGATGCTGAGCAATCCAGGTTTAGAAAAGCCTCCAAGTTGCTTATTTGGCAACGTCTCTGGGCAACCTGGTTCAGCACTGCACCATTCTCCCTGTGAAAATGTTTTTACATTATGCTCTCTTGAATTCCCCTTTCTGCAGCTTGTGACCACTGCCTCAACTCCACTTGCTGCATATCTGTGCTCAGTACAAGCAGTCTTTCACAACACAAAGGAAATCACAAAGGAAAACGTATATGACCATCCATTAGAATCTGCTGGTCTACGTACATTTAAAAATGACACTTGCAAATAGCCTAATTCTGGCCTAGGCCAGTAGAGAGTTCAACAAACACAGTTGAATTTGACAGTTGCACACCTAAACTACTGTGATCAAAATTCTCTAGGGTCTTATACAATACCTTGCAGACACTGAAAAAAAATTTAAAAAAATTAATTCATGTTAAAGCACATGAGGGTTTACATATCTCAGTCTAGACATACATTTAAAAATGCTTTAATCGACCAGAAAGGAGCCTGGTTTGAGCCCATCAAGTTCTAGTCTGCATTTTATACTTTAAAAAAAAATTAAGTAAAAASTCACAGCATTTAAATATATATTTAATTCTAAATTCAACAGTTACCTAGAGGAATTTTATTACTTCAGAAAAAAAGACCTAATTAGTTGAATTCTATATGTTAAAACCAAAGCAGTTTCCTYACTCTCTACGTACCATTCGTGCCCCAAGCTGTAGCACAGTCGTCTTCTCAAACCTACTCCCAGAACCTTCAAAGATGCTTTGAAGGTCCTGCCCCAGTCTCTCCATGACCATGAACCTGTAGCTATCAGGAAATACACAGAAGGGAGGAATCCTTTAAGGCAAGAATGCAGGTCTGCATTGGCAGATTGAAAAGACATATCCTTTATTTTGTTGAAAATGGATCTTTCATCAATTTCACACTTGATTACAACTCATTTGATTATTTATTACCTTTTCCCTTTGTATTCAGCCAAGCCTGATCCCCAATACACTGGAATTCCTAAGCATTTTATTTTTTTGAGATGCATCCATTTTCTTACTGTAATAACATAAAAAGACAACATTGTGTTCAAGGTAGCCAGAAAGTTTTTTCAGTATTTTATTACTGCTTTTAGTGATCAATGCAAAACTCCACAATGAAACAAATATGATTTGACAGATTGCTTTAGCAAACAATTCAGGTGATAACTTCACTGTTAGGTCCTCTATATTCTCTAAATCAGGAAGCAAAGTTCCAGCAGTGTAATACTTCGCACCCTTAAAAGGCAACAGATATACCCAGTTATCAACTGTTGAGAAAGTAATTCTTTTAAAAGTTCCACTTCATTTAAGAYGGTAAAGTTATATGCAGGACATCAACCCAGCTTGCTTCAAACAAGCAAAAGTTCTTACATCTACCAGCAATCTAAGCCATCTAAAGTCTTTAGGACAGTTCCTATGAATAAATTGCAACGGTTATTTCACAGTCTGCAGAATCAATTGTCTCAGTTACCACTAAATTCTATGATTATTTAGTGTATTCTTAACTTGGTTCAGGAGAAGAGGTACTAGCAGAAACACCCCCTGTTCAAAGACTGGCCTTATCTGGAGTCCATACATTCTGCTGCACGCTGATGTGTGCACATGAGCAGAAACCACCTGGCTYGCTTCTGATCACAAAGGACTACATCCAATTAAAGACACCTACAGCAACACAAAGTTGTTATTATAACACCAACTAGAATCGGTTCAGCACGTACRCAACAAGTTGGCTTTCAAGGGCTAAAGTGTCAGCTCTCAAGAAAAACAAACAAAAAAACCCAAGCTAACTTAGTTTTTAAAGCTAACTGAATTAGAAATCAGGGATTTTTCTGATACATTACTTACTGTGCACTTGTTTCGCAGCCCTTTGGTAAAATTTCACTTCAGAAAAAAGGGGGCCATTTTCAAGATACTCCTATTGAGAAATAAGTAAAGTTTGTATCAGAAAGCATATTATAAAACAATTCCTAGAAAATGTATAAAAGATTTAGGGGATTATCCCCCCCCCCTTATATTTTTGACCTTTTTTTGCCATCTGGTTTGCCACTTTCGGAATTAGTAAGAAGAAAAAACAGTCTGCAACACTGATTTGGGGGATAATTATTTAGGAATTCGTTTCAGAAATACTTTAAAATCAAGCATGGTTTAAAATATATGGTTTCATTTTCTTTACTAATTGTTCAGGGCATTAATGAAGCCCAGCAAACACTATGCATGAAAAAAAGAAAAAAAGAAAAAAAAAAAGACTTAAAAAACAAAAGCCACAAGCATTCAATACAAACCCAATGCTTAAGAGGAGAATAGATAATTAAGGGAAAGCACTGAATACATGTTAACAATTTAGAAATGAAATCTACACATTACCACTTTAATTACATGCACAGCATCATCTTCTACAGGAACATGAGTTTGAGGGGAAGCTGCAAAATGAGAAAGAGGTGGGAATGAAACCACACCACAAAACAGAATTGCAAATAAAGAGCAAGCTAATGTTGCATAAGGCAGTCAAAAACACGGGACAAGTACTTCCAGCTCCCAACATGTAGCATGAATTTCTGTTCTTAAAGGTCAAAGCATTGTCAATTAATTAAAACACAGCAAAAAAAAAAWGTCAAAAAGCAGTTTTAATGCACATTTGCAGAACTCTTTCCCTCAACATGGATTAGGGAACAAGCAGGACAATTCCATCACCTTTGCACCACGATGAGGTATCACATGACAGCAGACTATGTTTTAGCCATTCCCATCAGTTGGGTAACCTCTGTACTTGGTCCCTGTCAATCCACTATCGTGACAAAGAAACCACTTAAAAGTTATGACCTACATTACGCCTACAGGACTGCTTTCCACCAGTACAAATTAATCTGGCCCTAGAACCTCGCTTTCTATTCCGACTTTATTTAGCCACTGGCCTAGGTTAGGAAAGGCAGAGCCATCACTTGCCTAAAAGAGGGATTGTGCCTCTTAGAGCAAGTAGAAATTTCAAAACAATCATTGACCACATGTGCCAATTACGGCCCCAGAGACAGAGCCTCCCTGCACACACAATGCGATTCTATTTCCTTCTGACCCTGGGAGAACTATCACTTTTCTCTGATACTGCTGAAGTGCATAGAGCTACACTCGGATTAAAATTTAATGAGACTAAATCATCTTTTAGAATGATCACTAGAGGAAAAAAAAAAGGAAAAGAAAAAAAAAAGAATACAGTTCCAAGGAAACAAGTCTCCCTTTCAAACTTCKCAGAATGATCAAATACCACAACAGTCCAGGTGTGAAACACTTTGGTTACCGGCACACACACAAATAGATCGCTTTCATCCGCATAATAAAAAAATCAAATAAACTCGGGTCTAATCAAACTATCCAAGCTTACATCTTTGATAGAGCATAAAAGCTATTTTTTGAATGAACAGATTCCTTCAATGTCCATCTTGCCTTAATTCTGCTCATCTCCTGGGTTGGGTCCGGCAGGACGCACGGCCTCTGCGCTCCCCCTGCCTGACACTCGCTGCTGCAAACGCTCCTGCGCAGGCAGCCTTTCAGAGCCAACRCAGCCGTGCCCCGAAACGGCGGCTCTGAAAAGTGTGAACTACCTATAGATTCGGCCAAGTAACACAGTAACTTTCAGAACACAATTTAAAACCATTCTTACAACCAGAAGGGGAATTTTGGTAAGCTAAAACATATTTGTACCATATTCTCCTCCTGAACTAAGGACTAATGCACAGGTACTTATGTAACTAAACCTACATGTCACATGTAGGCTATGCCTTAATAGCTAAAGGCATCGCACTCTGGRGGAAGGGGACCCAGGCGTTCTCCTCGTACTCAACTATGTCACATCAGCAGGACAGAGCAAGAGCTGCCTGGTGCCTGCCCCGGCACACATTAGAAAGAAATCTGTTTTCAAGAAAATAGGTTTTAATATCAAATTMCTTAGCAGAGGCTTGATAGGTATAAGGCAGAGTCAAATTTAAATGTATTTGAAAGAGTCTGATCTAACTTCCCTATAGACATCTTGACATTTTATGAAGAGAGGCCTCATTCACGGTAATCTGGAACAGACAGTAACAGCTGTCAGGGTAATGAAGAGGGGCAATTAGCAGGAGACAGCCCAGCAAAGGGGCCTAACCCCCATGGTTCTTACCCTTTGCTGGCACGGATACTTTTTGGAGTCATACGAAAAAAAAACAGCAAGCAAAAATAGGGACAAAACTAACTGCAAATGGTTACACGATGAACAGGGAGAAGAGTCAAGAAAAAAGCAACAAGACACAGGAACAGATGCTCCAGCAAATGAGTGGCATGACATTCAAAAACACAAGAGGAGGAAAGGTATCATCGTTTTTTCCTCTGTGTACGTGAAACAGGGTGTAACACACACAGTGGGTAACACAACTTTACATTTCTTATACAGACAGTGCTCAGACAGTTAATCACATACATACAGATAAGCAGAAGGTGTGTATGAACCTTCTGTTACATTGTTTTAATTAACCATTCATGTATCAGGCAGCAGTATTTTAACTGCAGCTCAGATACAGGACAGACTATATTTTGTATATAAATATACACAACTTCTTTTCTTTTTAAATTACCTCATTACTATGTATAGTTACTTAACAGACTGGAAAGGCTCCCAAGGTTTAACAAACAGTCTGATTACATACCTCATAGCCCAGCACCACATACTCTCCTGCGAGTTTAGCTCTAGTTAATTACTGCATACTCGTAATTAGCCATGTGCTAGCCTCGTTCTGTGTGATAGCACATGGCTATTCATAATATTGCAATCAGTTAARTGCTAGACTGCAGGACAGTAAGCACGGGCCCTGCAGGAGAGCAGTGCTGACATGCAGGAGGTCTCTGATGGCATGTAAGTACATACATCGAGTACCACGAGCGCGATGCGGCGAGATTATGTTTGCAAAGGGTGCCTTAAAATAACATAACGGATAGGAGCATTTTCAGTTTACAGCTTGCATGTCGCTGTTCATCACCTATGGAGATGCATGGGCTCCACAGTGGGGGGAAGGGTGCTGATGTATGCATACAATCAAACCTACTGCCTGCATAACTATTAACACTGGCACCAGGTGAATCCAYTGCAGTGGCTGCTGCCTCCGCTCACCAAGAGCCTCGCAAGGATTTGCAAAGGGCACCGCTCTCTTTCCCCTCGCTGTCCTCCACCCTGCAAGCACCAGAGAGAAGCACATGAAGAATTTAAAATGCAGTCTGAGCTAAAGCAGTGCAAGAGGATTCACATTCTTTGCCATAATTTCCAACTGTTGTGCCTAGGCAACACAGCAAATAACTTACCTCAAATTAACCTCTCTCCAGAACTCCCTAGTTTCATCCAGGCACAGCAGCTACAGTCTTAACATCCGCTTTAACCATGAATTTCAATGGTTTTGTTGCCGAGTGCCACAATCTTAATTAATGTAGCTTTCTAAATGTTAATATGACATGGTAACAAAAGAGGGTGTTTTTCTGGATGAACTGTGATTTCTAATAACCGCAGAGCACAATTGCTCGCCGCCTGACAGAGAAATGTGCCAGTTCCATTTGCCAGTCCAAATGTGCTTGTTGCAGCTTGAGCAGTTAATTTGTGGCAGTCACATTTGGAATATGGTGAAATATTTTCAATGGCTCTCCCAGAACCAGTTTTGTTGACAAAGTTTACACAGCGGAAAAGAAAACAGCACTGATCTGGCAGCTTGAAAAAACATCCCCACTCCTGTCCACAGCTGGTGTCTTTGCCACTGTTGGAGATTTTGAGGATATATTCGTTTTGGAAACACTAAGAGAACTACTCTCAGAAGTTCTTGGGTCGCTAACATTTTATTTCTGCTTTGTTTCACTGAATAGCTGATCCTGGTGAGTGATATTGTCAGTTTAATTTTTGCAGAAATAAAACCTACCTTCAGAAGTTAATACCATACTCTAGAGTTACAGGCTATGCACAAGAAAGCTGGAACAAACCCGACCCCTTTTAAGTAAAGCCAAGAACTATTAAATTCAATGGCTAGCCAAAGKGGGGGAAATGTCATTCAGAGCATCTAACAATAAAAAAACAACCCAAGAAAAAAAGTGCACAAATGAGTAAGCAGTAGCATCTGCTATCTAACATTTATTTTTAAATATATCATACATGTAGAAGATGTCAAGGTAAATATTTAAAGGAATAAGCCTTTATTCCTTTAACCACACCACAAAACTCTTCTCCCCACGKTCATCTGCAGCATTTCCTGAAAACTGAATCATCCAGTGCTTAAGTGTGTTTATAGTCTCTATATAATGTAACCTAAGGAAGGCACACTTCTCTGTCCATAGCATTATTTTAATGATACAAAATCACTGTCCGGACAGACCCTTTTCTGATCAGCATTTTWAAATAGTTTTCTTCTACATTATTCTTCTAGTTATCTTTATGATTTTGAGCTTTCTTSTGCAAATTACCTATACCTGGATCCATATTGTGCTTGTGAATCCATATTCTACAGGACCTAAGTAAGATGTTTTGGGGAGAAAACGGCATTCAACTGCTAAACCGTTTTGCAGATAACTGCAAATGCCTCCAAGTACAGAACATTTGGTTCTGGCTGGAAGTTTCATTTTATTTCTTATTCATCTTTCCATGAAACCCTGATTTTGATTTTCTAAAGCCAAAGTTTTGCATTCCACAACACAAAACGCCACTGCTTSACTTTCAAAGTTAAGCAGCTCTCAGCAGCAATATGTCCAACACATCTTTTAATCCCAAGCAGAAAAGCTATGCACGGTCTGCTCTTATAGAGCTCTCCGATGGGAGTCCAGGCCTCTAATATTTAAGACTTGACCTCCAAACTGTTTTCTGGCTAGAGGCTGCTCCAGCCCACCTGCCGGCCTGACACAGCACCCACACACAGGATGCTAAGGCACTTGCAGCTGGGCACAGGTGCCAAAGGCAGCTGAAGGGTGAGGCTGCAGGTGCCCGGTAGCGCGTCAGGAAAGCAGCTCTCACTGAACTAAGCCAACAGCTCTCTGACCTTTCTGGCATCACCCCCAGCCTTTTCGGCCCTCCAACCTCAACCACAGCTGCTACCAAGAGGACAAATGCAGAGCAAAGAGCAGCTGCTAACCCAGTCRCAAGTGTGTTAAACAAAATGGCCACATTAAACATTAGCACTCTGACATGGCATAATGATGATCTTTGTGGACTTTCTAATGCACTTTGGAAGACTGTAAAAACAGTTTTATGTTTTGAAAAGCTTCTGGCCTAAACTGTAGGGAAATACAGACAGAAAAGAGAGAAGACTCAAGAAGAAGTAGGCACTGGCAAGAGGTTGTATAGGTTGGGAATACTTCCCCTTTAGCAGTTCAGTTTGACCAGCTGGAACAGGATGAGACTGTCCCCAGTAACTACTAACTAGCAAAATCATGTTACACATATGACTTAGTTTGCCCTGAGACAGGGTGAAAAATTAGGTAATCTACTTCCATATCTGTATTTATGCAGTTTAATAGAACTACTATTCTAGAACAAGTAGAATAAAAGACTTTGCTCATGCAGTCTTTGTCTGGCATGAGATTTATTTTCACACTACCATTCACACCTGGAGGTACCATGGGACCTTTACTGAACTACAGCTTAATGTCTCAAGGTTGAGCAAGATTCATAGTCAACCAGGCACCTGTTGGCATCTGCAACTACAGCCTTCTGCTCTTCTTCTTTCTCTTGAGTTCATAAAAGTGATACTGTCTTTAGAGATACATTTTTACTGCATTTTTAATTCATTTACGGTACTATACAACAAATATTTTTAGTAAAGGTAATTGCAACTGCTGTTGAAGAATTTCATTTCTCTAGAACTGGTTACCAACATTTGCTTCCTAACTCAAATCAAGCAGCGAGAACTATGGAAAAGATTAAAGAGGCTTCCACGAAAGTTTCTGCTCCCTGCCACCTTTCTTCACAGCTATACAAATTACCCATGGAAATTGCTCCTTCAGAAACAGAAGCATATTCAGAACAACACATATGCAAAAACAGCATCCAATAAAAATCAACAGACAAACATGTGGTGAAGCCACAACCTATGAAAACTGGTTTCACAACTGTTAGCTTTCACCTGTCATTTACCAAGTTCCAGGGCACTTTAAGATACAATCAAAATACAATGAAAACACTTGCAACATAACTGTTACTGTAAAAGATACCCGCAACAAAGTTTGGCAGAACTATCTGCTTCCAAAAGAAAGAAACTTGACTGCAGATAGTGCTCCRCACGGCAGGTTTCACTGTGGCAGCAAAATCGTAACAAAACATTGTGYGACCTTTCTGCATTTAAATTTTCAATCCAAATTGTGCATTAATAGAGTCCTTGCAGCAGGACTAGAGAATGATTTATATAAAGCCTAGTGTTAATTACTGACTGTGATCAGGAAGATAAATGAAAGAATGTAAGGCTCTCAGTGGCACCCTCCTCAAGTCTTGCTTAATTTTCTTATGCACTGCCACAGTTCTCCATGGGGCTATAAACTAGTCTTGAGGCCACCGATACACCACATTCTTCCTTAGCTGCTCTCCAYTCCTCTCCCTTTCCAAAGGGATAACACAGTTTGTCTCAGGTGGCCAACAGCAAATCAGCACCAGTATCAAAGAGCACACAAAAAAAGTCTCTTTTAACATGCACCATGATAGACAGTGCTGCTTTATGTCCCATGCTGCCTTCCCTGTGACAAAAGGCACCTTCGAAAGACCAATGCTAGATGGCTCATATGGCACCTACCTCACACCTGAGGAGGCTATTTAGGGCTCAGGGTCTGCAAAGGGCTTTCAGCAGCTGYGATTTCATTAACTGAGCCTTCCAAGGAAGGCAACCACAGTAAATAGAGTTTGTAGAGGTAGTTCAAAATTTCTCAAGTACATTGTTACAGATTAATGGAGTATGGAGCATTCTTAATGGGAAATTAAGCTGTAACAACGCACATCAAAATCTTTACACCTCTGCTGTAAAAATACTTATTAAAAGATACAGCCAGTAAAGTTAACCTTTACTTTTATAAAAAGGGCTTTGCCATTTGGATCTGGCAGGCAGTCAAATTTGTCTCCCCTCCCGTCTTGCTCAGCTCTCTGCACTTCTCTTGGGGTCAGCTGCCCACTGAAGGTTTAGTGGTCACTCTCTCATCTAGTTACTTATGTGTTAAAAACTATCTCAAAGTGGGACAACCACACACAGCAAGAAGACACCTCTCAGCATCAAACATTTGTACCTCATACTCGGAGGTTAATCATCTACTTTGTTCCCTTGACTCTCAAAGGCAATTAAAGTTTTTTGAAGGATCAAACCCCAGAGGAAGATACAGGGAAAAAATACATAGGAAGAGGGGGAAAAAAACTGCACACACACAGATATTGGCAGCTAGTATTTGTGACAAATCTCCTGGTCTCCCAAAGGTATTTAAAAAGGATTAATATCAAGAGAAAACATTATTGCACACTGGAGAATTTAATTAATGGATGAAAATGCCAAATTATTCCTTTCTCATCACCAGAAAAAGAATTGCTGAGAAAGAAAGAAAAAGTTTGGAAGTGAAACAGTTTTTCAACATAGTTAAAGCTAAGTAACTTCTGCGATGCAGTCAAGAACATCTTGGGCTATGTCTACATTAGCTTTCTGATTAGGAGCAATAGCTGAGTCTTCAGTCATCTCCACTTACCTCCCTCTCCATCACGCTGCAGACCAGTTCAGTGTGTGTAAACTATAAATTGCAGAGCAAAGAACAACAGGAACTCCTCTGTACAAGCCTACCAGCTGCCCCTCAACTCCTAACGGTGGCAAAAGGATTCAAAGCAGTTCTTCTTTCAGAGCCTCCAACCACATCCTTGGTGAGGAATTTCYGTGAGGCAAACCAGGCCAAGCTCAAAGTAAAAGAAACCCTCAGCTTAAAGACAGAGTAGATGTAAGCACCTAATCACCAATTGTTYCCAATTACTTAGGCACTGATGTTGCACCTGCAAATATACACACAGTCTTGGCTTCCTCCAAGACTTCCAGTTTGTGGAAGTTCACTCTGTATTTACAAAGGAGCAGRAAAAAAGAAGTGGCATTTAGGTTGTTACTGGAGATTGTTACAGAGGTCAGATGACCAAAACACACTGACCCTTGCRTGGAGATGCAAACCTTAACCCTCTACACTGGGTGCCTGATACTAGAGAGTGACACAGAAGGGCWAGTCCTTCACCTGAAGGAAGCCACAGTGAATCCCGCATGGCTCTGCACSTTGGGAAGCAGTCCCTGCATGTGGAGCAGCCTGCAGCTACAAAAAGCAAAAGCAGGAAGATGTGTGATGTATGATGCCTGTTTTAATAAAAACATGTCTTCTTATAAAACCCTGGAGATCACACTACAGAGAAAGCTCATGCTGTATCCCAGGGTATCACCAAAGTAGCTTTCGATTAAGCAAACAATAGGAAATAAACATTACTAAAAGATTAAAAGTGAAACRAATGACTAACACCAGAAAAAAATTTCCACTCCAAAAAAAGGAAGTACTATAATAAATAATTATAATATATACTTATAATTATATAAAGGAGAAAAACAGAACTAGCTCTTTAAAATACAAAACAGGACGTCAGTTTGTGCTCTACACGTGCAACTCAGGCAGCAGTTTCACTGCCAGGTTTTGAACACTATTACTCCTAACGCGGGGCTGGCAGGCACCGCCCAGCTCCTCACAGCCCCGTTCGGCTCCAGACAGGCGGGACTAAACGGCTCCCGGAGAACTTTTTCCTGCTGCCTTAGCGCGGCCACGCGGCTCGTGGCGCAGAGAGCTCGCGGAGCGCCCCGAGCCGGGAGCGCGGAGCGTTACCTAGATAGATCAAGCCAAAGCCGCCCTGGCCGAGCTGGCGGCCCAGCCGCCACGCGTTGCCCTCGGTGTCCCGCAGCACCATGTCCGCCGGCAGCGGGGCGGGCAGCCTGCTCCTTCCGCGCCCCTTGGGCGCCATGGAGAGGGCGCGGAGGCCGCCTCGGCGGCGCAACGCCCCCGTTGTCGAGGCGAGCGGCCGCCCCCGCAGGCCCGCGCGGCCGTTAGCGGCCGTTAACGGCCAACGGCTGCGAGCGGCGCGGCGCGCGCGCGGCCCCG